CACTAAATTAATTAAAAAAAGAACATTCAGAATGCGACTGCAGCAAGTAAGTATATTTAGGTTAAATTATTCGTCGATGTCCCTGGGATGTAAAATTATTATTAATGAGAGAACTTTTTCTCTCTGAAAAAGAGGTGAATCTTGAAAATTTTATGAAAACTATAGTCGGAGAGAGTCCAGCAACCTGAACGTGCTCGCTGCGCTCGTATTCTAAAGTTTTTTTTTTAATAATAAATCTAGAGATTTATTCTTACAACAGAACCCAAAAGCACTTCGCTGAAACTCTTTCCTGCACACTCTTTCCTGCACACCAATAAAGTTGAAAAAAAAAACTTAAAATGCGAGCGCAGGAAGTAGGGAGTACGCTCAGGTGTAATATCTATTGGCATCGCTGAGAAGCTAAATTATTCAGATCAATTTTGTTGTTATTTAACAATGTGAGTTTAAAAATTGTTTGTGATCGTTGATGCCTGTGGGATTGAAACATCCTGAACATGCTCACTGCGCTCATCTTTTAGATGCTGATTTTTCCAATGTAATTAATTACCTTTTAATCCTCGATTAATTTAACACTGGATTAAAATGTGGAATGGTAGCTCGTGATTGGTTAAAACCTGCATGTCGCCTAGCAACGAACCTCAATTAAAAGTTAATCGCGAATTAACTTTAACTTCGGTTTCTATAAACCAGGTCTAAATTAATCAAAAAAATAACATTCAGAATGCGAGTGCAGGGAGTATATTTAGGTGTTATTCAAAATTATTCGTCGATGTCCCTGGGATGTAAAATTATTATTAATGAAGGAATGTTTTGTCTCTTAAAAAAAGGTGAATCTTGAAAATTTTATGAATACTATAATCGGAGAGACTCCAGCAACTTGAACGTGCTCGCTGTGCTCGCATTCTAAACATTTTTTGTTCCCGAGCGTAAGCAAAGGAAATATTTTGTAATCGAGTCCGTCGGCCGACTCTCTACTTTTACATTTTCTCAATCTTTCATGACCCCTAGAAGACGAAGAAATAGGTCTCCCGTTTCCGTCTGTCTGTCCGTCTGTCTGCCGTCCCGGATTTTTATTAGACAGATAATCTGCGAAAGACCGATTGTTGTGAAATTTTGTATTTATATATGGAATATCATGTAGATAGCAAAATACTAACCAAAATTTGCCTAATCATCCCCACCAATAATGTGATGACGTCACTTCAAAATTGTACATAGTAAATGTGTTTTAAATTGTATGACATAACATAGTCCTAGAGTTTTTACCCGAAACGTCCAGATTTAAAAAAAAAATCAAAATTATGAAACAACATTTCGCAATTTAATTTGGAATCTGCCAAACCGAATGCTTTGAAATCTTGGAGGTGATCTACAGTTATGATACGCATGATAAATTTTTATTCAAAATATATTTACTTGTCCCCTCCAAAAAATTGATGACGTCACCTCAAAACTTTGCCGAATAAATCCCATCTAAATTGTACAAAATATGATATGTCTGTACTTGTGATTTATCATTCCATTCATATTTTTTAGAGTTGCTTAATAGGTCGCTCAAACAAAATTAATGAATGAGTCAATTTATTTAATTGATTAAATCAGGAATAGTTCGCTCCATTTTCCCTAAAATATGGGGATACAACACTGTTATTATTAGTATTATATTACATGTAATAAAATAAAATGTAATGTGAAAAAAAAATAGGCATGTTTCCGACAGCGAGGGAAGTACTGTCTAAACTCTTTAGACCAATTTTTTTTTTAAGTAATAAGTCTAGAAATTTATTCTCACGACACAACCCAAAACCACTTCGCTGAGACTTTTTCCTGCACACTCTTATGAGTATAATAACTCTGAAGAAAAAGTTTAAACTGGGACCGCAGCGAGCACGTTCAGGTGTAATATTTATTGGTATTATTGAGAAGATAAATTATTCAGATCAATTTTGTTGTTATTTAAAAATGTGAGTTTAAAAATTATTTGTGATCGCTGATGTCTGTGGAACTGAAACATCCTCAACATGCTCGCTGCGCTCGCCCTTTAGAGGCTGATTTTTGCAAAGTAATTACCTTCATAGAGAGATCTCAAGAAATTATTATAATGAAAACTAAGAAGTTTTGTTGATCGTTTGTAAATATTTTATGGGGCTAAATTAATTAAAAAAAGAATATTCAGAACGCGAGTGCAGCGAGTATATTTAGTTGTTATTCAAAATTATTCGTCGATGTTCCTGGGATGTAAAATTATTATTAATGAGATAATTTTTTGTCTCTAGAAAAAGGTGAATCTTGAAAATTTTGTGAATACTATAATCGGAGAGACTCCACCAATCTGAACGTGCTCGCTGTGCTCGCATTCTAAACATTTTTTTTTAAGTAATAAGTCTAGAAATTTATTCTCACAACACAACCCAAAACCACTCGCTGAGACTTTTTCTTGCACACTCTTATGAGAATAATAAGGCTGAAGAAAAAGTCTAAAATGCGAGCGCAGCGAGCACGTTCATGTGTAATATTTATTGTTATCACTGAGAAGATAAATTATTCAGATAAATTTTCTTGTTATTTAAATTGTTAGTTTAAAAATTATTTGTGATCGCTGATGTCTGAACATGCTCGCTGCGCTCGCCTTTTAGATCCTGATTTTTCCAATTACCTTCAGAAATAAATCTCAAAAAATTATTATTATGAAAACTAAGAAGTTTTGCTGATCGTTCGTAAATACTTATTTTATGACACTAAATTATTTAAAAAAAAGACATTCAGAGTGCGAATGCAGCGAGCATATTTAGGTGTTATTCAAAATTATTCGTCGAGGTCCCTAGGAAGTTAAATTAAGTATAATAAATGAGAGAATTTTTTGTGCCCAAAAAAAGTTAATCTCCTTGAAATGTTTGTGAATACTAGTCAGAGAGGCCCCAGTAATCTGAAAATTTATTGTTACAACAAAACCTAGACAGCTAAGATTAGTTCTCAAACACTATGAAAAAAAAAGCACTTCGAATGCGAGCTCAGCGAGCAAGTGTATGTATTATTAAAAATAATTCACAGCTGTACTTGAGAAGCTAAATTATTATCAAGATACGATATATTTGTATTCATTGTCAAAAAAAAATTTAATGCATTTTTTTTCAAATTTAAATTGCAAAATGTTGTCACAAAATTTTGAATTTTTTCTAAACATCTGAACATCTTGAGTAAAAACTCAACATGGATTCATAAAGTACACGTGTAGGAGTATGTTATTTCTTAAATTTAAGACACATTACTATTGTGACTTTCCCTCGACAAGTAAAAAAATATGTACAGGTAAAGGAACAAGTTATGCGTGTTTTCAAGTTTATATTTCTTAATGACGTCATCAACCTTTTGGTAGTCAGACATATCAATAACAACAGCACTAGACGTATTTAAACTACAACTCTAGAATTAAAATATCTTGCACATTTTAGGTAGAATTTATTCAGCAAAATTTTGAAATGACGTCATTACGTTTTTGCAGCAGATAAATCAGTCACGACTTGCCATGTTTACGAAAACCTTAAATTGTTTGCAAAATTTAACGTCAGTCGGTTTTATGGTTCCTAAGTTAAACTGTAAAATGGTGTTTCACACTTGATTGATTCTATAAAAGTAACAGACAGATGCATTTCAGGACTTGTTAATATTATAATTTTTTATTTGTATGTTTGTCGTGCCATAAAAAATTTTAATGAAAATGCCTGAGGTTTAAAATACTTTTAAACAAATGAAAACATTAAATGTGCTGAAACAAAACTGGAGCAAAAAACAACAATAATTAAATTTAAAGCAAAGCTCATTATATAAACCACGACTACATTGCCGTTTTTGCCTAAAGGCGGTGAATATTTTCGAAATAAAATTACGAATTTGTATTAAATAATTCTGTGTATTTTTACACGCTGCAAGCGTTAGATCAGCAAGTATACAGTAAAAAAAAACCACAATAGCAAAAACAGGAAAACGAAAAATTAAACAACAAAATTTAGATTTATACTTACTGAATCATATCTGTGTAATAGTTTTGTGTTATTAATTAAGTCACTCTTGGTAAACAGACGTCAATATATTGAGTTTAATGATTTTCGGTTCTCGGTGTAGCTCAAGGTTCCAATCTTGGACCACTCTTATTTATCATGTTTTTAATGACATTAGTGAATATATTGATTCTAAGATTTACATTTATGCGGATGATCTAAAAATTGTGTTTGCAAGATAGTATTGATCCGTATATCGAATATTGTTGCATTTTTTGGAATCTGTCACATGCAATATATGTCACACTTATCGAAAATGTACTGCGTCAATTCTGTAAATTCCTGTACTTTAAAATGTTTGGAACATATCCTGAATGGTAATGTGATCAAAGCGCCCTTTTAAGTATTGTTAATGAGAGATCTCTTGTTGGTGGAAGGAAAGAGATATGTTTTATATTCCTACAAAAACTTAAATTTGGTGAAATTAAAAGTGAATCTTTTTGAGTTGTATGTAAGTAGACCGCCACTTACTTTTTACGACAAAATTCCCAAAACATTCCATCATTATAATTCTCCGCTTTTTAGTTGTTTCAAAATCCGTACATCAGAAGCTTGATATTTTTAAGGATAATTTACGCATGAACTCGTTTCATACTACAGTCTTTTCTTGATAATACGTAAATAACAATTCAGTTTTAACTAAAGCTAAATTGATTAAAGAGAATAACTGAAAAAAAAACAGTAGAAAAGGAAAGAAACGGCCATATCAGGAGCTGCTAGTTTTCTTAAAACACACATGGTTTGAAAATATCAAGGCTCAAGGTTGACAAGTTTATAAATACAAACTTACATTTGCGAACTTTAAACATGAAAACTAATTTAGCCAAGCTAGTGTACTCTTGCAAACTTTGTCCTTTATTTTCCTAATTTTCTCTAATAGGTTTAACAAGTTCACGCTAAAACTAAAAAAACACAGTACAAGTTTTAGAGATAGCTACAAATCTACAACAATATAAAAAGAACACAGTAACGAAACTACAACAAATGCTACACACCATATAAATACGAAAACTAATTTAGAAAAATAATGTTTCGTCAACTATTAAAAATTTTCTTAGTCACGACACAACAATCAACAAAAGTTTCCCCCCACTAAAAATAAATTCGTCTTGGAACCCCAATTAGCCGCCACTTTCGCCCCTTCCTCCCATCCTTTATTAATCATCAACTTTATGCCGCCTCCTAAGCAGGCCCTTTCGCGCCGACAGCAATCTCGAACTCGATTCACCAATTTTCGACCCAATTGGCATGGCTGCATCAACACTCTCCCTATTATCTCCATCATCTTCTCCTTCTTGTTTATCTAGAGCGAAACAATTACTTGAGTCCTCCGTTAAACAAGAATTACCTTCATCCAGAGGAAAATGAGTTTCAAGTAAAGCTCCTTTCGGGATTCTTTCGAGCACCTGACTCAGGCGCTTTTCTATTTTAGTAATATCCTTCACCTCCTCGAAACTCGTATGCGCCGCTCTCAGTTTGTCCTTCTCGGATTTGGCCAGGACCGTGCGCAACAAATAGCAAAGCGATGCATCGTGAACATCCTCCCAGTTCTAGAAAAGACGAGTTAGTTCGGGTTTTATAAAGAGGCGGTTCGTACTTGTCCGTCCATGTCGTAGACGCAAGGATTAAAAGCCGATTGGATTAGTCCTGCAACGTTATTGTTGCAATCCATTAATTTGATGAGATTTGCTAGGACGTGCAAAGCGCAGGATAATTCCGTCTGGGTTTTGAGGAGTTGTTGCTTTTCGTCCTCGAGGGTGGTCGTTAGCTTGATTATTTCGTTGAAGGTGTCCTCGAGGAGGAGCTCTAAGTTTGAGAGAGGTGTGGGATTTTTTACCTTGAATTTTGCTATGAGGCGTTTTTGGATTAGGCGGAATTGAGAGCTGAGTTGAGTCAGTTGCTCCTAAAATTTTCTAGTGAGAGAGAATAGTTAATGGGGACGGTGGCAGTCACAACGCTTTCATTACTCTGATTACAGCCTCAAACCGGGTTTTGTTTAATTTTTTGAAATAAATATTATATTTTAGAAAACTGAGATCTAAACAACTTTTTGTGAAATTTTTTGACTGCAATATGTTTTAAGGTCGAACGTCTGTCTAAAATGAAAGTTTTAATATAAAAAATCGAGTAATTCGTTTGAGTGCTAAGCTTGGAAATAGAAGATCTGCAACGTTTTTGTTTTTGTTTTTTGATTCATAATTAATTAGTGAGACGTTTATCGCTGTTACCTATATTTAAGCGGCTTAAGTATAGGAATTAGTTTTCGAGTTATCGTTCAAAAAAGAACAAACCGATAAAACACGTAGACAATTGGATTGGAAGATGTTCAGAGAAAATTACAGTGAAAGGCTAATACTGCCAACTATTGTGAAAATAAAAATTGATATAAAATAAAAGCACAACTAACGGTACTTTCTACACTGAGAACGGGAATTACATGAAGAACTCGCTGCGGAAAGAAAAGGAAAAATTGTGGAGAAAATGCTAAATACGAAAGTGTAAAACACTGATTATTTTCTTGCTCTAGGTGTATTTAATGTTATTTTAACGATTATTCTTCATCAAATGGGAAGTTAATGTTTCAACATGTATAAATGCATTTTTCGTGTTTTTTTACTGAATCAGAAATGTGTTACAAAATTTGGTAAAACTGTAATTAGATGTTTTGATACAATCTACAAAAATGATATAAAAAAATTCGTAAAGGTAAATTGAACAAAATATTTTTGAAAATGATAATTGTTTAGATTTTTTCATCACCACTCAGTTTTATTAGTGCTTGTTTACATACACATAAAATATTACAACACAAATGTTAAAAATGGCCACAGTGAATGTTTTTGTGAATCTTTACACAGTTAAAAAATTTGAAGAAAATAGAAAATGTAGTTTTACTATCAAGGGTCCAATTATATGTATACAATAATATATACGGGTTCTATAACAAAAAAAAAAACAAATATTGTGCCTTAGAAACAAAATCCATTATTATTTGTTTAAATATTTCTGTTGCTGTAACTTGTAAGAAAATGTTTCAACTCGTGCGTTTACGCTGATAAAATGACTAGTTTTAGATAGTCAGTGCTGAACAGTTCAGCATTTTTTGTTAATCATAATTGAGATAAAGAAAATTTTCAATTTACCGAATGGTGTCTTTATTTTACAATATCATGACCGTAAAACTCGTAAAGATGAACCAATTAGAATAATATATAATTATTATTGTTATGAAATAAACCCATACGGAGCCCCGGTACGACGTCTATGGGTTCTAGTATATACGGCGACAATGACTCATTGTCCGTGACGGCGACCGGAGAAGAGCCTGGAAGCGGATGTCGCGACGGGTGTTCGAGAATTTTCAAAATTCTAAAAATAAAGGGAACAGATAAATTACTGTTTTTCTCCGATATTTGAAACGATGCTACAACAATAAACACGAAAACGTAGACGTAATCTTGAGAAAATTCTTAATCAGATAGACACCTTGCTTGGTCAATTTGGACGAATTTTAGTAATTAAGAAAAACAATGGGGGCAGGTAAAGGGTGGTTTTCTTTGCTATTTGACGAGATACTGCAAAATTAAACACGGAAAATATAGACTTATCATATTTTGCACATTTTAGGTAGGATTTATTTGATAAAATTTTGAGATGACGTCATCAATGTTTTGGGAAGGATAACGAATAAATTTTTATTAACGATTAGCATCATTACAACAATCTTAAAACCTTTGCAAATTTTCACAACATTAGGTTTTGCAGTTTTAATGTTAAATTGCAAAATGTTTTACAATTTTGATTTTTTTTTCATAAATCTGAATATCTTAGGTAAAAACTCAACAGAAATTCATACATCACAAGTGCAAGAGTATCTTATTTTATAAAATTAAGAAATATATTTTATTGTAAATTTTAGAAATGACATCATGCCATTGATGGTGAGGATGATTAGCTAAATTTTGGAGTTTTATTATTTACACGATATTCCTAAGACGACAGGATATTTCAATTTTTCTATTTTACAACTTCTCAGTTTTTCAATTATTCGATTTTTCAATTTTCCGATGTTTCAGTTTTACGTTTTTTCAATTTTTCTCTTCTATTTTACAATTTTTAAATATTTCGATTTTTCAATTTTTGACTTTTCTAAATCCTCAATTTTTCAATTTTTCAATTAAGCGATGTTTTGATTTTCCCATCTTTGGACTTTCGACTGTTTCGATTTTCCAGTTCTTTAATTCGATTTTTTGTTTCAGTGTTTTATTGTTTTTGATTTTTAATTTTTCTATTTTCAGTGTAAAATTTTTCAATTTTTCGATTTGCAATTTTTTGTTTTTTCAATTGTAAATTTCTCAGTACCCCGATTTTTCAATTTTTCATTTCCTTAATTTTTAATTTGTAGTTTTTCTAGTTTTCGCTTTAAATATGCAATAATAATCTTAATATAAAAAATGTTTCACTTTTTCAATTTTGTGATTTTAGAATTTTTCCATTTTTCAATTATTGGATTTTACAACTTTTTCATTTATTCAAGTTAATTTTTCAATTTTTCGATGTTTCAATGTTTTTCGACTTTACAATTTTTCGGTTTTCCAATTTTCCGATTCGATTCATTTTCTCTTCTTTAAAAATTTTTTCATTGATTCATTTTTTTTCGATTTTTAACTTTCTCGATTTTTAGTTTTTCCATGTTTCAATTTCTTGTCTCTTATTCAGTTCTTTCACTTGCAATTTGTCGATTTTGCTTTTTTCTTTTCTTCAGTTTTTCGATTTTTCAATTTTTTCCGATGATTTAGTTTGTCGATTTGTAATTTTTCGTTTTTTCAAAAATTGTATCTTTTTCGATACTGAAAAATTTTCCAAAAAAATGGCTAAAATGGGTTCAATCGACCGAAAATTGGTGTCAAGTTGTAGACAAATTTCCGCTAATCATAAATCTGGAATGGCCGTCAAGATATCTTTTCCAATAAATATGAGAAGTGAATTCAAAATTTTCAAAAATTTTCCAAAAAACTTTTGGGTTTTCCAATTTTTCGATTAGATCCATTTTTTCTTGTTTCCGATTTTTTAATTAATTAATTTGTTTCGATTTTTTGTTTTTCAATGTTTCAATTTTTGCTGTTGAGTTCTTTCATTTGCAATTTTTCGATTTTGCTGTTTTTATTTTCTTCAGTTTTTCGATTTTTCAATGTTTTCAGATCTCTTAGATTGTCGATTTTTCAATTTTTCGATTTGTAATTTTTTTATTTTGCAATAATTTTTTACTTCTTCGATTTTGAAAAATTTTCCAAAAAAAAGGTTAAAATTTGTCTAGTCGACCGAAAATAAAATTGTGACTGCTATAAACAATCTACCAGTTAATTTAGATATTTTTAATTGTAAGGAGAGTACATTTAATTTTTATTTAAAGCAAATGTAGCCATCAATTCTCTTATTTATATTTTATTGTCTCTATTGGAACAGTTCTGTTTCACAGGAAATTACTATTATTATTATTAAATTGGTGTCAAATTGTAGATAATCTTCCGCCAGTTAAGAATCTGAAACCGCTGTCATGACATCTGTTCCAATAAACACAAAAAGTGAACCCACAATTTGCGAAATTTTCCAAAAAAAATGGTTAAAATTCGTTCAATCGACCGAAACTTGGAGTCAAATTGTAGATAATTTTCCACCAGCTACAATTATGAAATTGTCGGGACGATATCTTTTCCAATAAACAAGAAAATTGAATTGAAACTTTCCAAAAATTTTCCAAAAAATAGTTAAAATTGCTTCAATCGACCGAAAATTGATGTCAAATTGTAGACAATCTTCCGCCGATCATAAATCTGGAATCGCCTTAAGATATCTGTTCCAATAAACGCGAGAAGTGAATTCAAAATTTTCAAAAATTTTCCAAAAAACTTTTGGGTTTTCCAATTTTTCAATTAGATCCATTTTTTCTCGTTCCTAATTTTTTTATTCATTAATTTTTTTCTGATCTTTCAGTTTGTTGATTTTTCAATTTTTCGGTTTGTAATTTTTCGATTTTTCAATAATTTTTTACTTTTTCGACTTTGAAAAATTTTCCAAAAAAATGGTTAAAATTGGTTCAATCGACCGAAAATTGGTGTCAAATTTCAGATAATCTTTCATCAGTTACAAATCTGAAACCGCCGTCAGGACATCTGTTTTCAATAAACACGAAAAGTGAATTCAAACTTTTCAAACATTTTCCAAAAAATGGCTAAAATTGCTTCAATCGAGCGACAATTGGTGTCAAAATGTAGATAATCCTCCGCTAATTACAAATCTTGAATCACCGTCACGATATCTGTTCCAATCAACACGAAAAGTGAATTCAAAATTTTCAAAAAATTTCCAAAAAACTGAAAAAACTTAAAATTGATTCAATCGATCGAAAATTGCTATCAAATTGTAGAAACTTTTCCGTCAATTACAAAATTTGATTCCAAAATTTTCTAAAATAAAAAAAAAATTGGCTGAATCCACTGAAAACTGGTGTCAAATTGTAGATAATCTTTCGCCAGTAACAAATCTGAAATCATTGTAAGTTTATTGATGACCTCATCAATTTTTGGAAGGAAAAACACAAATTATTCTGTCATCTGGGGTAAATAAATTTCTCGGCTATTTGAAGAGATATTGCCCAAATAAATTCGAAAGCCCTCAAAAAATTCCGGATGATAAAACCTTGCTTGGTCCATTCAGGCTAATTTTAATAATTCGGAACAATAAAATGGGACAGATAAATTAGCGTTTTTCACCGTTATATGAAGAGATACTACAAAAATAAGCACCGAAACGTAATACTGAGAAAATATTGGATGAGATAAACACCTCGCTGGATCCATTCGGACGAAATTTAATAATTAGAAAATATAAATAAAGCATTCTTGTGAACGTTTTTTCGTGATTCTCTTCTGAAGTGAAATAAAGACACGACGTATTTTTGTTTAGTTAGATAAATAATTTATCTGAAAAAATATTGCGATAAAATTTGACAAAATGATGAATAAATATAACCTGGACAATAAAATTTCAAAATAATTCTAAATTTGAAGAGTTTTTTAGTACAATTATTACAAAAATATGACAGGAAATGATAATCTTAAGACAGAAGTTAAAAGCAACTGTGTAACACAAACAAGAATTTTTATTTTTATCTATGTTCTACCCACGTTCCCTGTCATGTTGACAATTTGCCTCATCAAAAATTCGTTCAATGTTTATAAAAAGATTTGTCTTGCCGCTGTTCTGTCAAAGAAACTGTACACTGAATTCATTGTTTTTATTATTGTTGCTATTAATTTTAAATTTCAGTTTTTATTAAGACCATTTTTCGGAGTAATTTGTGATTTAGCTAAAAACTGTGCCTTTATGATCGTAAAAAGATCAGTATCGCATAGTCAGTGCTGAACAGTTCAACGTTTTTTGTTAAATAAAAAACGCTTAATTAGAAGTTAACTTTCTCCGTATTTTACTTCTTGAAAGCTTAAATTATTTATGACTTTTTAATAAATTCGCCACCGTAAAACTTGATATAATTTAGATAAAGAAAATTTTCAGCTTACCGGGTGGCGTCTATATTTTATCGCCGTCGTTATCCTGAAAATCGTAAAGGTTATGAAATCGGTTGAATTATAGGAAAGTTTCGCGACTTTGTGTTGAAAAATCCTTCGGGCAACGAAAATAAATTGTAATGAGATATTAAGAAAAAACCGAAGTTAACCGCTTTTTAAAAAAGTTAATAAACTCCTTTAATTTTACTTTGAAAAATAGCGACTGTTGGGTAAATTCGGTCATCTTTGTTTAATCTAGAAACGATATTTGGTTTATGTTGTAATCAAAGTAATTTAACCATTAACTGCCTTTGCTCGGTTGGGTCTGGCTATACCTGCAAAGAGCTAAATTTCTGCCGGGCTTCGAAATGCCTGCCTATATATTGCAAAGGTTCATTAATCGGCAAAGGTGGATTGAAGGTAATGGCAAAGTCGCTTTTGTTAGAGTAATGCTTCTTAAGTCGATCCACCATCTGCTCTACCAAAAGGCTCAACGACGCGAAAGAGTTTGATTGAAGCCTGTACCTTTCCGAGGACTTCGCTAAAAGAATCGTTACAACTTCACCTGCCGTAAGCTTCCTGAAACCAATAGCGCTCCCCGTCGTCGAGAAAGTATACTCTGCAAGTAATGACTACAACGAGGGAAAAAAGACGGAAATTGGGCTTTACCTGGGAACAGAACAGATAAACCCACAGGACTTTGATTAATGTTTAAAGTTACTTTGCAGTCGCTATCTTTAAGCGGCGGACACGTTTCGAGCACTAAATTCAGCGGCAACATCGCACTCCTCGTCACACTCCGAGGAACTCCCAAGCTCGATATAAACGAAGCCACAACTTCCACGTTCAAACTTACAACTTCCCCGACTCCCTCCATAAAAGCGTAACAATTCATCGACGTTTTCTCGGATAAGTTATTAAAAAATTCTATTTGAGGCTCGACTCTGAGCGGATATTGGGCGAGGAGCGTTATTTGAACTTCCTCGAATAACGCTTGGGGGGAAATTTCGATTGAAATCGAACACATTTGATTGTTTATTGCAGTTTTTATGTTAGTGTCGAACGTGCAAGGCTCTAAATGAGGACTCACAGAGACGTTTAAGGTGAGCTCGCGTTCGGCTGAAGCGTTGGTTACTTTTATATCTGCAATAATAAAGAAATAAAGGTGGCTCCAGCCGTAGTCTTGAAATTGTAGCATTCAGACAAAAAACCTAAATACGTGTTAAAAATACATGATACATTACCGTTGGAGTACGAATTCTTGATCGTTTTGTACAGAGTGGCTAATTCGACACCAGCTTTTTCGAAGTCGAGTTCTTGCATCGCCAAAGGAGGTGCCACGAATAGACTTGGCTCCGTTCCTAAATAGGAACATTCGAGGATTCCTTCCTGTGAAAGAAACACTAATGCGCCGCTAATGTTATGCATAAAAGCTCGCTTCACCGAAATGGGGGAAGTTTGGAGTTGGGCGCACCACTTTAGTGAGGTGTTTTGGTAAATTAGCAAGTTGTTGGTCTCAGACACAACTAAAGACATAATTCGGTCGTCTGGAAAGAGTATGTTAGTAAAAATTATAACGAAACTTGCGACTTTACTTAGAGAAAAGTTTATGAAACACGTGGGAGAAAAGTCCAGTCGTTTCATGTATTTGAGTTTCCCGATGTCGCTTAAGCAAAACATGTTTCTTTCGCCGAGTACCATGATGAAACTTTCTCTGGAGCTGGGGTCTTCTACTACGTCTAGGTCTGTAACGGCTTCGCCCAGGTTGAATTTCCAGTCTGCGGTCACTTTTTTGCCGACGTCGTCTTCTTCTAGTGAGTTTTGACCAGCTTCGGAGAGTATTTTGTACCTTTACAAAAAGTTGTCTATGAAGACGCCTTAATTTTACTGTTGGAGTTTTTTGATTAGTTAATAAATTAAAATTACAACGCAACCAACAGGCATAAAATCACTAATTAATTGATGCTCAGATACTAAAATAAAAATAATTAAAAAATTACGTATTCTCGCAAATTATTGAAAAAACCAACATAGACATATTTGAAATTTAAGGTTATTTAGACACAACTCCCTTTGCTTCTGAAGTACACTCCAACAAATTTAGCTTCTTGAAAAAATTATAAAATTTGATTTTGCGAAATTTTATTCATTTTATAATAACCCCTATAAATTAAAAATTATGTACCATAAGGGAATCGAAATCGCAACTTTGTCGTTCTAAAATATTATTATACAATTTGGATTTTTTTGCGATACTCTGGATGCTTAGAGTAAACAATCATGGCGAATTCATAAAGCACCAGTACAGAACCACGCTATTTTATAAAATTTAAATAACATTTACCATGCAAAATTTTGACGTAACGTCAACAAATTGTTGGTGGGACGTGTCATGACCTCTAGAGTACGAAAAAAGCGGTATCCCGTTTCTTTCTGTCCGTCTGTCTGTCTGTCAGTCTGGTGTCCGTATCTATTTTTATTAGACCAGTAATCTCCGAAACTACTGAACCGATTGTTGTTATGTATATTAGGAGTATCATATAGATGGTTAAATGTTAACTAAAGTTGTTTTAAATTTTATAAAATACGATACTCTTACACTGAAACTTTGAAACTGAAAAACCGATTGCTCTGAAATCTTGTAAATATTTTAAGGTTATCGTAATCATGGTAAATTGTTAGCAAAATTTATTCATTTATTCCCTCCAAAAAAATTGATGACGTCATCACAAAATTTTGTTAAGGGAAAACTGATTTAGAACATACGCCCAACACGCTTCTTTACATCTACGTTAACGTTACATACATATCTTTTTTTTAACTTATAAGGGTTCACATAAAAAAATTAAATTCGCATAATCAAATTTTATAATTTTTCGAAAAGGCTGGATTTGTTTTATTGCATTTCAAGGGCGAGGGAAGTTCTGTGGAAATAACATCCGATCAATTTTCGCTAAGCGTTTTACCAATAGTTGATAGTTCCATTTGATAAGTAAAATATTACTTTGTTTCTTCTTTTATTTGTTAACTTTAGAATTTTCGTCAATTTTTGAGTTTTTTACGTTGATTATTATTAAAACTTTGTTTTCATTAAAATGATTTAAATGAATTGCTTCAAGTTGTTTATCGTACTCCCGGGTCACCCTTGGAATCTAACGTGTAGATCGAATAATTTATAGAAGGAAACTAACAATTTATCTGTTCTCTCACCAGCGGTTTAACAGATTTGTCGAAGATTCTAATAAGCTAATAATGTTGTCATTAGTTAACAGTATTAAAAGTAGTCACCAGAATAAAGAGGGGGCGGGTGGGCGGGGCTATTGCTTGCCTATAAAAGACTCTAGAGAAAAGTTAAATTTGGCCCCGCCCACCCACTCGTTCTCTCATTTTTTTTCTTCTTAAATAAGAATTAAATTTTAAAACAAATAGTACAACAAAATAGTTATGATTAGCACTTTATTTACAGCCTAGTTTCTATCAGTTACTTACCACTCCCACTCTACAGAAGAACATACTAACCCCGCCCCGCCCACCCACCCGCCTCCATTTCGGTGATTAATTCTATCTGCTCTGAATGAAAAGGTGGATCTTATACAGAAATAAAATTAGTCGCTAAAATGAGAAGAAGGAGGGTGGGCGGGGCTAGTACTTGTTAAGATAAGACTGATTTTCGCAAGTGACATACCTTTAAAAAATAGAGGGTGGGTGGGTGGGGCTAGTACTTACAACAATAAGACTGAACAATATTAATAGTAATAACTAGAAAGAACTGGGTGAGGGTGGGCGGGGCTATTGCTTGTCTATAGAAAGACTCCCTTGGAAAAATTAAACTTAGCTCCACCCACCCACATGTTCTCCCATTTATTTTTCTTTTGAAATAGGAAATAAATTTTATAACATATAATACAACAAAAAAAGTCACGAAAGAGCTTTTTACGGCCTAATTTTGATCAATTCCCACTCCCACTCTAAAGAAGAACATATACCTAACCCAGCCCACCCACCCGCCTCCATTTCCGTGATTAATTATATCTACCCTGAATGAAAGGTGGATCTTAAACAGAAATAAAATTAGTCGCTAGAATGAGAAGAGGGAGGGTGGGCGGGGCTAGTACTTTTTAAGATAAGACTGATTTTGGCAAGTGACATACCTCTAAGAAAATAGAGGGTGGGTGGGTGGGTGGTGCTAGTACTTACAACGATAAGACTGAGCAATATTATGTGTAGTAACTAAAATGAAATGGGTGAGGGTGGGCGGGGCTATTGCTTGTCTACAAAAAGACTCTCTAGCAAAAAATTAAACTTAGCCCCGCCCACCCACCCGCCTCCATTTCCGTGATTAATTTTATCTGCTCTGAATGAAAGGTAAATCTTATCCAGAAATAAGATTAGTCGCTAGAATGAGAAGAGGGAAGGTTGGCGGGGCTAGTACTTGTTAAGTTAAGACTGATTTTGGCAAATAATATAGTTTCTAAGAAAATAGAGGGCGGGTAGGCGGGGCTAGTGGTTGCCTATAAAACAGTCTCTAGAAAAAGGTTAAATTTAGTCGTTTTATACAATACCTACTTCTAAAATACATAAAATGTGACAACAATCAGTACCGTAGTTTCGAAGAGTGTAGATTAAATATCGACCTATTTTTTTCGCACTGTCAGGATCATGAAACGTTGGGAAAACATAAAAGTAGCCATTCAGCTTATCCTTGGAAAATAAAAAATTGAAGTATTTTAATTTACAGGGTGATTAAATTTGCAAATCGTCGATTTTCTCGTATTATTCAAATGTGACACCCCATATTTTATAACATTTTACAATTTGTCTCCAGGCAAGATTTCTTTTAATACTAAGTTTTAACCCCTACAAATTAAAAACTATGTAGATAATACCGGTCATAGTATAAGAAAAAAACCGGCCCATGACGGAATCGAAACCGCAATTTTCTGAAATGTTATTATACAATTTGGATTTTTTTCGAAAATCTGAATCCCTAGAGTAAACACAATCATGGCGAATCCATAAACCACCAGTACAGGACTCGTTATTTCATAAAATTTAAATAGCATTTACCATGCAAAATTTTCAGGTGACGTCAACAAATTGTTAGTGGGAATACTCAGACATTTTGTGGAAAGTATTTTACCATCTATACGATACCTACTCTTAAAATACATATAAAATTACAACAATCGGTCCCGTAGTTTCGAAGATTGTAAATTAAATATTAACACAGACGACAGACAGACAAACCAAAACGTGGCACCTATTTTTCACACTGTAGGGGTCATGGAACGTCGGGAAAACATAAAAGTAGTCATTCAGCTTATTCTTCTCGCATATTATTCAAAAGGGACACCCCATATTTTATAAATTTTGCAATTTGTCTCCACGCAAGCTTTCTTTTGATACCAAATTTATTAAGCTTTATCTCAACAAGTTTTTTAAAATTAAAAATAAACCGCAACAAATATGGTATCAAAGCTTACTTAATGCATGTTCAAAAATATTGTAAAATACAGAGTGTCCCATTTAAAAAACATGACAAAAATTGACAATTTACAAAATCAATTACCTTCTATAAACATTTTAAATCCTTACTAGACTTTTTCGTTTTCGAGTGAAAACTAGAAATAATTGTGATAGTGGCCTCATTTCTATTTATCTGTCGTGTATAGTTTGTAGGCGATTTTATTAAACAGCTAATTTCCAAAACTACTAGACTAATTACTATGAACTTTTAGACGGATTTTATGTTGGTGGTACAAAGCTACCCAAAATTTCAGTGATTATCCTCACCTAAAATTTGATTACGTCATCTCAAAATTTTGCAAAGCAAATCCTACTTAAATTTCATAAAATGAATACCTTTATTTTTTTACCCGAGACATGCAGATTTTTGGACAAAGCAACCAAAGCTTTAAAAATTTTATTTCAAACCTAATTTCATGTGTTTTTCATGATTATGATCCTTAGAATATGAAAAAAGAAAAAAAGGAGTCTCCCGTTTCCGTTTGTCTGTCCTCTGTCCGTCGTTGTTCTGTCTGTCGTCTTTGACAATATATCAGACAGATAATCTTCGAAACTACTGCCCCGATTGTTGTCAAATTTTAGAAAGTATTGAGGAATATCATATAGATGGCAAAACACTGACCAAAATTTGTTAAGTCGTTATTTAAATTTCATAAAATAAGAAACGTGATACTTGTGGTTTACGAATCCGCCTTTATTTTGTACCCTAGACGCCGTAATTTTCATTTTTATCATATATGTATAGAAACTTCGTAATTTCTGAAAACTTTACTTTTAATTTATAACTGCTTATACAGGGAGACTTGTAACAGTTAATTATTATTATACATGTTTTAATGACCATTTTTTTACATAAAAGTGCAAATATTTTGAAAACTACTAATTAAAAAAATCTACGTTTGTATCTTTTTTTCCATTTTTCATAATGAATCTAAATTTATAAAAATAACGGCGTTCTATTAAAATAAATCAAATACATCTTTGGCGTATGGTTTAAATGAAACGCCTTGCATATTTGTAAGCTTGGACTGTGTTAAAGACTTTTATTTTTCAATAATTTATGGAGAATTTGTAATTTTCGGTCACCAAACCGGTGCAACAACTTTTATTAGTGATTCCATATCGCTAGAAATGACTAACAGTAATTTTTTGTCACTCAGATGCATTTCTGCAATCAGTAAAAGTAAAAGGTTAGCGGCCTTTTAAGAGCTGACACGAAATTTTTAAAATGCCAAAAATATTGGTCACATTATTTAGGATTTCGGGGATATGAACCAATTCACCTTCCCCCGTACAATTGCCAGTACAATCCTATGGGGTTGGCATGGGTGCAATGCAAAGACTTTTATAATAAGCACATAGCATGACAAGATAGTTCGGAATTTATCTAAATAAACAACATTCCACCCGTAGTTATAAATTTGGCGAAATCAGATTCAGATGACTCAGAATTTGAGTTTATAGACGAATTAATTAGATTTTCATTTAGACTGACATTTTATGGGGAATTAATCATTGGGCTTGACCTTCTAATAAGCCGATTTTAAAGTGGAAAAATGATGTCCATAATTACATAGCTCAAAAAATAAAGAGACTATAGGTTTAGTGATTTCTAACGAACTGAAATAAATCATATTAAAGTACTGAATGACTATTAATGTGTGTGATTTTTTTTGTCAGGTTCGTAACATATTTAAAATTTTATGATGGCATACCTGATATCAAATTCAAATTTTGGGCACCAATTCAGTGATGTCAAAATTGACAACAGTGAACTGACATCTTAACATTGCTGCCAATAATTCATAATTACCAACCCAAAAATTAGCTTCATACATTTCGTAGTCACCGGGTATTTATTTTAAACACACGACAAAACGAATTGTTTTTTTTTCTGATTTTAGTACCTTAGTGCATATAATTATAACTACAACGTTAGGTTAGTCTTGGAAAAACCGTGAGAACTAGAGGATCGATCTTCGTGCTAATCTTACCACATTGCCACAGACTTACTTAAAACTCATGATTTGCCACGCCGAATTAACCGTGACAAAACTATCCGATTTTCGGACAAAAACCAGGGGCCCAGGCAGCAGAAAATCCGGCAAAAAGCAACAAAACGCAAAACTCTCCTGCTCGAAAAACGTGAACAGCCCATCCAGCGACTGCACACATATAAAATCCCTGCTCTGGCTCCCTCCAAAAGGCCCCACGAAAAAATTATACGCCGACCTGCGTAACTTATGCTCGTACAACAATTGCAGAATGTGTTGCACACCTGTTGATTCAATAAAAATCAATTCAAAAAATGTGCATTATCATCGGTAAGTGTACTTGCCATGGTCGGTTGCCCCCTCTTTGGTAACCAGAGCGTAAACGCCGACCAGTCTTGGTTGCAAAATAGCCAGTTGTTTTTTAGGCGAACCTCTGAGAACGATAGTTTTTTTTAGTTTTTTTAAACGGGTTACTTACGATACTAGTCGGCCGCAACTAATCTGGAGAATGGGGTCTTTTATAATAGTTTCAATCAATAAGTCCGTCACCTTGTAGTCCGTTAGATTACTGGAATCGTTTGTTTCACACAAGGGTTTAAAAATCCGCAAAATGCCACTATGACTTCCCGTCACTATTACGTCAGAATCACTGTTAAGTTTAGTCACTAGGAGAGAGTTTTGGTCGAAGGATTCGTCGTCTTCGCAGTGCGTACTCCAAAAAGTTCTAATTTTAAACAGCGACATTTTAATGTAGTTGCACGTAAAAAATAGTTGGTTAGGAAATCATTGATTATTTCGTGGTTGTAAACAAGGCCGGGGAAATCAATAACTCAGGTAGTTTGCATGTTAAAAATATCACATTTATTCACCTTTTTGGAAGAAAATATATAAATACTTTGGCTATCTCAGAGTTCCAGTCATCTAGTAAAAATATGAACACAACTTAAAAATAGAGATCTAATTCTCGCGTTGATAAACATTGCTATATTACATGTCAACAACTACAGGATTAGTGTGTTTCTATAATTCAACAACAGAAATTAGGAATCAGTGGAACTACTTCTCAACAAATGCTTCTAAAAAAGGACATTCATTAATGCACACTCTAATAAACATTTTTTACTTTTTTGCTGGAGGGATTAACAGCGGTAGGTGGCAAAATAACGTCATTCTTAGGTGTAATCTCATAAACAATACTTGCGTTTGACAGCTTCATGCATTCTTCTAATGTCTTTATGAAAGTATCACAAGTAGCGCCTAATAATCTCGTAGCGTCGTCCATTTTCTGGAAAATAATATCATTGATTTGATTAAAAATTCAAGCACGTACCTCAACTTCAGGCCCGTTTTCGTTAGTAGCAGCGCTTTTAATAACGTGCACTTGCTGCATCAGCAAATCACAATAAAGCCTTAGTTCCGACTTCTTCGTCTTTAAGGCATCAGGGTTAGGCTCAGCTGAAACAACTCAATTAGGAGATAATAATAATGCAAATAATAACTTCTCATATTTACAGAAAAAACAAAAAAATAAAATGCCACTGGATGACAAAATATATTTAAATTGCCCTCAGTCTGTCTCAAAAATACAACGGATATTATGTTACTTGAGAATAAACTTTGAAATCAAGTAAATAAAAAATAGAACAAGAGTGGCGCCATGCGAAAAATGTTAAAACTAAGCAATTGCACTGACTGTTATATGTTTTTTAATTTATTACCTATAGTGTGTTTACCAAATAGATGAAGCGATCACGTGCCTACAACGTTAGCGTCTGGAGAAAATACTGAATAACTGATTAAAACAAAGCGGACGAAAAATCACAGAAAATCGACAACTCCATCTGTTCAGTAAACGCAATATAGTTGGGTATTTTCCACTTACTAGTATCATTCCGCGTTCGTTTATGTACACAGGCCTTGGCGCTTCCCAGAGCTACTAACCACTGTTGCCTTTCCTGTGAAGTTGCGGCCCGAAGGTACATGTGTTGTTCACCAGGAATTACAAGATCTAAGCGTGTACTATCCATGGGGTTAACTACAACCATTGATTATTTAAAGTCACCAAAACATACAATATGTTACCATTGATTTCACATGCTTGTATTTTAATAGAGCCCTTACAACCTTGGTTCACTTCTTCTTGCGACTTATAATAAGTAAGGACCCCGTTTTCGAGGACGAACCACCGCGTTTGCCACCCTGCAAAAATAGTGATAAATTTTGTCACAAGTAACGTGTCGTTGTTACCATTCCAGTAATTAGTCCATTTCCAAAGGACACCTTCCATAATCTGCGTAATAAAATAATTAAAACACTCCAAGACACGTGTAATCCACTTACCCAAGTATTGAATTTTAATCAAAAACACATTTTTGACGTTTAGGTGACAGTCATCTGTTTACGTTTTTGTTGCTGTTTTGACAAGTATTGGCGGGGACGGTGCCAACGTAACAGAACCAAAAAGTGTGACAATGTTTATAAATATCCACGTTTACACTCTATAAATAAAGTCAGAGAGTGCAACAAGCGTACCTAAAACACAAAAATGAGCATTTAGTTCGAATAAATGCCTAATTGGGTACATTTCCGCGCTTAAACTTAACGCGTAAAGTTGGCTGCCCTCAGTGTTTTGGTGCAGTGTCACATTTGTCATCGTTAGAGGGTGTGGTTATGTTATCATAGCAATTGATTTTTAGCAAAATTAAACCAACCATGACGAATATCGCTATCTTATCATCATTCCTCATCACTTTAATATCAGTAGAAGTGGGTAAGTGGTAACGAATTAATTCCATGCGTGTTTGTTTATCTAATTGACAACTTAACCTTATTTTGTTTTTAACGATTTTTATTAGTGTTGTCGCTTGAGTGCTATGTTTGCGACCGACAAGAAGACAATTTGGGCAAATGTGCACAAACAATACGAACATGTGAACCTGGACAGGATGTGTGTTTGACTGAAATTAGTTGGGGTAGCACTCCGTACTGGCAGCAGGGTGCTTTGAAGCAATATTACATATCAAAGAACTGTTCAACGAAAGAGTACTGTGCAAAATATCGTAGGGATAATATGCCCTTGTGCACGCACATTTGGTATCAAGATTGGAAGTGTTCTGAGTGTTGTAAGGGTGACAGGTGCAACTATTACATAATTGTAAGGAAGTATAATTTTGTAAAACGTAATACTCATAATGGGCTTTTTCAGTCTGGCGCAAACAAAATTGGAGGTCTGAGGAATGTACTTTTCGTTAGTGTTGTTCTCAGTATTATTTACAAGATTTTATGAAGAATTTGAAATCAGCATTGCTGGTGTGCCTTTACAATTACGACTTTTTTTTACATTTTTTTTATGGAAACAATCCGTCCACATTGTTGTTAAACAGTTAAAACTTATTTTAATTTTTATATTACTGATAGTTGTAAGTTTTAATACATTGATAGTTTTTTATTTTTATTTTACCCTCAAAATGATCCTTTGTAGTGGTATAATTACTTATAATTTTTAATTTTGCGCTTTTTGTTCACGATATTTCAAATTATACAACTGTATTATGTGTTGCCTATATTGCAGAATTTTTTGTACGATTTATTTAGGTAGAAAGAGATGAGTCCAGTCTTTAAAAAAGATAACTTTTGTTTGATTACGAGATTCTTAATTAATCTTATTTGTTTTAATAATTTTGATAAAAACTCATTAATCACAGCTGACATATCTAGGTTAAAACTAATCTCACACAAGAGGCAATGATAAGTGTTTGTCATACTTTATCCTAGACAAGCCGAGATTTATGGTTAAAAGCTACTATCTAATATGCGGTGTGCTGTACATATACAGAGTGATTCGCACAAAAATAAGACATGAAGTACTTTGGATGCAGCAAAAATAGGTCTGCAACTATACCAAGTGTGAAAAACAATAATTACCTCACACTGTTAGTTTTATAAAGAATAAAACAGTAGCGTTCATAACAGAAGGCGATAAAAGTTGCTAAACCAGTTTTATAGTGAGTTATACCGGGTGTTTGAGAAATGGCGGATTAACTCTTCAGTACGTAATTTACGGGGGTTTCGGAAGTTCCAAAAAAATAATAAAAAAATTCTTTATAATATAAAATACGAAAAAAACGTGATTTTATAAAAGCAAAATTGGCAACACTGCACCCACCTAGTAGTAGTAGTGAATACTTTCTGACATTAAGCATAACCAACTAATCACTAGAGAAGATGTTCAAAATTCCTGCCTTGTGCATATAAGTAAGCTCGTAATGTTTCCAAATTTTGATCATTTTTTTGTAAAAGTTAGTCATCATCAGTACTTGCTAAGATAAAACTGATTTTGGTAACTGACATACCCTCTAAGAAGAGAGAGGGTGGGTGGGCGGGGCTTGTAGCTGCCAAGATAAAACTGTTTTTGACAAATGTCATACCTTCTAAGAAAAGAAAGGGTCAGTAGGCGGGGCTAGTACCTGTGACTGATTTTGGTAAATGAGATCTCTCTAAGAAAATAGAGAGCGGGTGGGCGGGGTTAGTAAAAATTTCAAAAATTCAAAAATTTGGTCTTGGCTGTGATCGTATAACAAAATGGAACCTACGTTGTGTGTTTTGTTTTTGTGGCGGAATGCGTTCAGATGCAATTGGTGGATTCCAAGGTTGGAAAAGTACGGCTAAATAAAACACAAAATATATGGAGGACACAAAATTATTTATTCCTCCACTGATAAAAAAAAAAGAAAAAAAAGCTGCGACTAAGTTGTCCTGGTTGAAGACACCTCTTAATGCTCAGCTACAAAAAAACTTTCCTAACTTGGAATGAAATCAAATCAAACGTTCTGAATCAATGCAAATATTTGAATATCGCAAATTTAATAAAAACAAAGAAAAATCTGAATTCAAGTAACTGGATGCAAAAACACAAGTTATGACGGACGTGTAGCGGCAAATTTAAATTATGGCAGTCAACAAGAGAACAAAATTTGAATAAAACTCTGTGTAGTGGGGCGCACAGCAACAGCGTCACCAGAGCGCTATAAGCGTGTGGTGATCAAACTATACCAATTTCATTCTACAACACAGCAAAATTACCCATAGGAGGCGTTGTAGCATGAACGGAGTTTGGGGCTCCTGGTTGTGGCTGTTCTCCCCCCACGCCGATGATTCTAGTCTATCGGCAAGCACATGCCATTCAGCACCCCTCTATTACCAAGAAACGTTCTGCGCGGAAACAGGCCATTACGGTCACAAACTCGCTATTGGACCAAGCCGCGAGCGTCGCGTCATCCCGACCGTGTGCCTAACTTCTATCCTAGGCCCGCATTCTTTGTGTAGATGGCGCGACCGCTAGCTCGACAAGGAGCCGCGCACTCCGCTTCCGCCACGTATTTTTGTGTTATTTACCTCACTTCTATTTAAATGTTCACGTTCTATAACTCTGATATTAAACTGCAACTGAACAAACGTTAAAGTTTAAAAAAAAAGCAATAAACAACATTTAAATTCGGCATACACCCTCGTGAACTTTGAAACAGCAAAGAATTCTCATCTGAGATTAAGATTGAACTGCAGACAATTTATATAATGGACGCATTAATTAACAAAAAAGAACTAGCAAAGATTTATAAAAAAAATGTGGTGTGAAATATAACTTGTGCAGATAAAAAGTTACGTGAGGTTAGGAACTGCAGAGCATGAAAATTTACGTTAAGTTTAAATTATGCATTAAAGAAAATTACTGAACTTAAAATTGTATGAGTTGAAAAAGTGCCAAGCTAACAAAATTACATGAGTTCAATATTTGGCACACTTTATCAACGATTCAAATAAAGAATTTACCTGATATTTAAATTATGCCACACTTTGTCAACGGTTCAAACAAAGAATTTACATGAAGTTAAATGATGCGATGATTCAAGTGATTTAAAACAATTAGCTTTGAGCGTTTATATCGTGGACTGTCCCCAGGTCATCCCGAGCAAAACACATAAACACAAAATGTCTATGTGATACAGCTTTCCACGTTGTGAGAAAAATGTCTCGATTTTGTGATGATGATATGATGATACTAATTGCCTAAGTGGATTTTTTTTTTATTTTAATAAAGTGGGACAACGTTAAGTTAAATTAACTGCCGAAAATGAACTATTAGCAATTTTGTGTGAGGAATTAAGAAGTGTTATGCTAATAACACACAATAACCGCCACATCCCTTCAAACCAGTGGCGGCTGGTGGGTCAAAATTTCGGGTCGGCCAAATATTTTGAGTCTACACCTTGGTGTTATATATTTTCGTAATGTATGGCTGCTACTCATTAACCACTGACATTTTACGTGCCAGGATGTACAAAACATCTCAAATGTTTCGACCTGTTAAAATAATTTTTTATAGGAAATTGACAATGTCAGTTTGATTCCAAATACTATTAATCCTTAATTCTACTTGTTCTGCTTTATCATTAATTGAGAACCACCGAAAACATTATTTTTACTGAGTTCCGCGTCGACCGGCGGCTATACGGCTTGCCGACCCCGGACATCCACAATTAAATAATAATAATTAAATAATGACATGCAGTTAAAAAATATAAAAAAAGTAATAATAAAAGTACCAACTGTTAACTATCTTCATTTACATTTATTTATTTTTAATGTATATGACAAATTGTCAAATAAATTAATTGAATAATTGAAAAATTAAAATTATTTAAAACTTTAAATTCGTTTCTGAAATATCTGAAAACGCTTAGATGCTAAAAATACAGAAAAAGCGCATTTATGTTGTAGCTAAGCTATGTACGAAAAATAAAATTTTAGATAATTTAATGTAATTTTTTTCGTTTATTATTCATACACAGAAAAATGTATTAAATCGACAATTATTATTTAAAAAAAAATAGTATGCACTGAAGAACATCGAAGCCGTTATTGTTTTGTAATTTGGTTAGCTATCTTAAATATTAAGCGTTTTAAAAACTAAATTCGCGTTGCTGGGTACGGCGAAGGAGGATTTCGCCGGACCTGGCACAACATACGTTCCGCCAGGTCTTTGTCTACTACAGTGTACTATACAAAGAGAACGATGAAACCGTAAGCTGCTACGAAGTCGAAACATCGAGCATAATGCATTCCTGGGTACGGCTTGCCGAAATCTCGCCGGCAAAGCGTGTTTATCAGCATTTAAAATTAGCAACAAATGCTTTATTTTGTACCTACAATATAATAAAATATATTTTTAATATATATGATCTATCCTAACGTACATTCAAACTTTATTTCTTTTTTTATTTTCTAATTTCAACGCTTACTAAGTATTTTAAAATGACTGGTACGGCGTGGCCGACCCTGCCGCCCCTGACCAGCCGCCCCTGCTTCAAACCATTATTTTTTAACAAAAATAAATATTTAAATTTATCATTTATCATTTTAAATTGGAAGTGGTGTTTTTTTATCAACCTGACTTAGTGAGAAATTGAATAAACTAACGAATATTGACAATTCGAAAATAAAAGAAGACGAAACCTCGGAATGAAATGTATAAAATTTTCTTCTACTTATTTAAATTTTGGAACTTCTAAATAATTCGACCTTTAAATTTTTTGATTTTTTGACTTTTTGTGTATTTGATTTTTTACTTATTCGATTTTTCAAAATATTGCGACTTTTTAATTCTCACATTTTTCGATTTGTCGCTGTTTTGATTGCTCGATTTTTAAAATTTTAGATTTTTCACTTTTTGTTATTTCGTTTCCTCAATTTTTCGATTTTTTTGTTTTCTCGTTTTCAGATTTTTCAATTTTTCAATTTTTCGGAATTAATTTTTCAGTTTTTCGGTATTTCGATTTTCCAGTTTTCGATTTAACAATTTTTTTTTGATTTTTCGCCTTCTCGTTTTTGAATTTTCCGGTTTTTCAATTTTTCGAAATTTTTCAGTTTTTCGATGTTTCGATTTTCCACTTTTTGGTTTATCGGTTTTTTGAGTTAAAATTTTTCGATTTCTAGCCACTTCCATTTCTGAATTTTTCAATTTTTCGACTTCTCAATCTTGATATTTCAATTTCGCGATTTCTCAGTTCATCGATTTTTCGATTTTCCAATTTTTCAACGTTTCAGTTTTGGGATTTATGTACAGTGGACGCCGCTTAATGTGATCACTTTGGGACTCAGACAAATTGATCACACTAACCGACTGATAATAATAAGCGAAGTCCACCATCAAAGACAGTAAAACTCGAAACAAAACAAAATCATGAACAAGACAGTGTTTATTATGCTGATAGATGAAGGTACATAAATATTAGAATTTATTTTAAATTTTGGTTACCATTCTGAGAAAGGAACCATTGATTTCCTTTGCTTGTTGTAGAAATTTCTTAAGTAAGGGCTGGGAATTTTTTTTTCTCTGATAAACTAAGATTTCGTCGTTTCGACCTGCTAATTTTTACATAAATACTACTCAAATTTAAAACAGAAAGAATTCGTTCGTTCAAAAGTCGAAAACACACTGATTACTTAAGTCTGTTTTTGACCACTGATTGTGGTTGTATAAAATAAGTGGTATAAGCGAATGTACCTTTTGAGAGCAATGAATGTTCATTAAAACACAATACTAGTTTTAGTCGTCTCGCTTCTCCAAAAAAGCAATTCCCGTTTGTATAAGAATTGCGAGATTGATCACAATAAGCGAAATATTGATCACAATAAACGGAAAAACTGTAATGCATAGGTATTGCGTGGGTCCGTTCCAAGCCATTTTGATCACACTAAGCGATTGATAACATTAACCGTGATCATATTAAGCGGCGTCTACTGTATTTAAATTTTTTAATTTTTCAATTTTTGTTGTGTCCAAATTTTTGGATTTTTCCATTTCTCGATTAATGGATTTTTTAATTTTTCGACTTTTCGATTTTTCGTCTTTCCGATTTCTTGATTGGGATTTTTCAATATGTATTTCGATTTTTAAATTTTTAGATTTTTCGAGTTTCTGTTTTTGTTACTTATTCGATTTTTCAAAATTTTACGATTTTCTAAATCTTACATTTTTCGATTTGTTGCTGCTTTGATTGCTCGATTTTTTAGATTTTCAATTTTTCGAATTTTTAAACTTTAGCTATTTCATTTGTTGTTTCGATTTCTCAGTTTTTCGATTTTCGACTTCTCGACTTTTCGATCTTAATGTTTCGATTTCGCGATTTTTCAATTTTTCGATTTTGATTTCTCAGTTTTTCAACGTTTCAGTTTTGGGATTTATTTATTTAAATTTTTAAATTTTTCAATTTTTGGCGTTTCTAAATTATTGGATTTTTCGATTTCTCAATTTCTCGATTAATGGATTTTTTAATTTTTCATGTTTAAGTTTTGAGATTTTTCAATTTTAAGATTTTTCGGCTTTGTTTTTTTTTTATTTTTTTACTTATTCGATTTTTCAAAATTTTGCGATTTTTTAAATCTTACTTTTTTCGATTTTTCATTTTTTTGTTTTTTCGATTCGTTGATGTTTAGATTTCTCGATTTTGTAAATTTTCAATTTTTCGAATTTTTAAATTTAAAATTTTTCACTTTTTGGTTGTTTCGATTTTTCAGTCTTTCGATATTTTGCCCTCCCATTTTTAGATTTTTCAAGTTTTCGGAATTAATTTTTCAGTTTTCCGGTATTTCGTTGTTTCAATTCTTCAATTTATCGTGTTTTTTAAGCTTAAATTTTCCAGTTTTAAATTTTCCCATTTCTCGATCATTAACTATTTTGATATCTCAATTTTTCGATTTTTCGACTTCTCGACTTATTGATCTTTTGATGTTTCCATTTCGCGATTTCGATTTCTCGATTTCTGCGCTTTTCCATTATTCGTCTCCAAAATAATACACCATGAGTACCCAAGAATCTCCCTAATTAAAAAAAAACACTACGGCACTCAAGACTTTTTAAAATTCATAAAAAATAATACACTAAAAACTCAAATATTAACTAAGTTATTTTCTAAACACTCGGTATAAAATAAGCATGTATATGCAACCAATTATACACTCAATTGAATCAGACGTAAAGTCAAAATTAATAGGAGTAATTGATGTTTTTTTAGATTTCATTCTACCACATCTATTTTCTGCTGATTTTATTCCTAATAAAGTTATTTATCGTCGTCAGTAACTGAAACGTGTTACCTAAATTTGCAGTTATTTGCACTTCCCTCGCCTCTGCGAACCTTATAACATAACTTATTATTCAATAACAACTACTTTAACGTAATCGCAAGAATGTGTCGTCACCAGAATTTTAAATACAAAGTTAAATAAACCGTTTTTGACATAATCGAAATCTTACACGAACGTCTATTTTTAGGGATATATAATAAGCAATACAGCATCTGAATAATGCATTTAATAATTTCATGTGAAAACATTTAGTTAATTTTTTTTAATCCCCAAAATAATCACAAAATTTCTTTCAAATTTCATCTGTTAGCAATAAAATACGTAGATACCCTAAAATTTCCAATAGACAAAGACATTAAATTGACAAACGATAAATTTGCATTTTTGTATTATCGAAGGGTAAAAGCTCAAAAAATCGACTCTCATCAAATTGATTGTATATATTGAATAAAAAAAATCAACAAAATAAAACATTTTGAGAGTGTCAAAATATACATCTATGATAAAGTCGAACTGTTTATTTTCTACTAATAATTTAGTAAATATTTTGTTCTTGTGATAAACTCTTGCTGATAGTGATAACACAAAGGGTAATTGGCGCAGGACTTTTGAGTCAATCTGTGCTTGTTTTTACTAACCCAATGAACGTGTAATTTTAAAACTACTGTTTAACACCAAATAATTTAAAGTTTTTACAGTAAAGTTTCGGCAACCTTTTTAAAATGGACAACGATATCACAATGGAATCACGAGGGTTAAGACCTTTGCACTATAACTTGTTAATTGCGGTTGCTTTGTTGTTTGTATTTTGTACAAACTTTTCCACTGGTGATAAAAATAAATACTGTGAGTTTCGCCCCAGTTTTTAACGCCCCTTATAATAAAGTCTGTTCAAATTCTACTTCTCTGTCTACGATGCATTGGTTTGAACCAAAAATTCAGTTAATTTTACTACTTCCTGAACTTACTTTTTGTTTAATTCATTGTCACAATATCGTCAAAATATCTGCCCTTAGTTTGTTCTAAAGTAGAATTTTATCCACTTTGTAGATTCCATAAAATCGCTATGTAGCAGTAATATTCCGATGCTGTATCCAAGAATCGATGGTGCTGTCATCGAAGGAAAAAATTATACTAATTTGGATTGCATTTTGACTTTTCAAACACAATCTATATTACAAAATTTCGTGGTACGATTTGACTTTTTGCACCTTGGTTGTGAGGATCATTTATATATTTATGACGGACCACACCCTTTTGGAACGTATTTGGTAAGTTATAATAACCATATGTAGTATTTGTTTGAACAGACACACAGAAAAACGAAGAATTTTTTTTTACTTACGTTTTGTTTAACACTTCGCTGATCTTCTGCTACTAACTCCTATGAAGTAGGGTATAATTAATATTATATTGGTATAATATTTTAGTGTAAACAGTATTCTAATTATATCTGTTTTGCTTCCTTAGGCGGATTTAACATGTACAAAGTCAAACAAAACCATAAAAATTATTTACACCCGAACAAATTTCGTTACCTTCAAGTATAGAACAAACTTTTGGGTGGATAATTCAAATGGCTTTAAGATTGTTGTTACAGCAGTTAAAAACAGAAGTGAGTTCAAAATGGATTTTTTAAATTAATTTGTTTATTAATAATAATAAATAAAATAATATATTTTTAGGGTTCGACTGTAAGGAGTTCAGATGCAATCATCCAGATGTTTGCATATCAAAAGATCTAGTTTCTGATGGAATTAATCACTGTGAAGATGGGTCAGACGAAACAGAACAAATTTTAGCAAAGGGTTCTCGAAAAACTACAAAACGTGTAACAGTTATTTCTGTTCTGATGTTGTTATTACAATTCTTCATCTAGGTACATAGTTTAGTATAAAAACTCCTATCGAAATGTAAACAACGTTCCCGCAGTTCTCATATATCGGCCGGTCACGAAAAAGCATGCGCACTAAAACTCCCGCGAAACCCCTACGATTATTTGCACTGTGCAGTTTATCCTTACACAGAATCCAGCATCCTGCGACCACAAAGAAGGGTGTACTATGTGAAAATGAAATTCATATTCAATAACAGTATCATAGTTATTGCATTAATATCATTACCATTCATTTCTGGTAAGTGTGTTTTCTCTTTTCCATCTGCTGCTATACCAACCGCTATAAAATCCTCACTATTAATCTCAATTTACAATTCCACAATCAACAATTACCAGCTTCATAAGAATTTCTAGTAGGTCGAACTAAAAATAACACTACCGTCATAACTAATTCGTACATTAAACTCTTAATCAAAATTTAACCACCTCCAGCTCTCCATCTTTATCAATTTAAACTTCGTCGGGACTTAATTAGGCAACTGAATTACAACTTTAATTGCGCTGTATTTAAACTTTATTTAAATAATAAACGATATGCGAGCTACACCGGTCCCTTGTGTAGAAAGTATCGATTCCTGCGCCCTCCAGCCCCTGCAAACTTGCTCTTGAATCCTACAGGCAAACAGGAGCATACTTCAGACTGCACGCCTGATGAAATTAAGCCGTGTCAATTTCCTTCCTTTTTGATCAGATTAGCAAGGGCTCACTTTAAATGCTCCCTTCTTTATAAGATTTTTTCAATTGAGTTAAACTTTACCTTTGGGGAAAGATATATTGGGTTTCTTCTTTTGATTTTGTTTAGAGTTGATTGAGTAATTGCTCAAGATGTGTCGGATCGATACTTATCTAGTTGTGGTCGGAAATTGCCACCGGGCAAGCAACACGTGTGCTTGCTTCTTTTTGTTTTTCAAGAGACGTCAAAGTGTGAATGTGTTTACACATTTTGTGCGTTTTTGAGAGTTTAGTTTAGATTTATTGCGGCCGTATTTGTTAATTCGTTATGAATTTATTTGAGGGATTGAAAAGGTCGTGTATTCAGCTATTTATAACTCAAGTATTATTCATATTTCTTGAAAATTTTCCCTTGTAAATGTAGACAGCTTAAAAGGACTCGTATTTTTCTTTCAAATATTGTTAGAGATGTTTACCTTATTTACTCTGAATAAATACATTCTCAAACGAAAACATTCGAGTTCAAAAGTGTATTGGGTGAATAATAAATTTCCTTTTTCTTCCAATATACCTATATATAGCTACTACACAATTAATGGTACATAATGAACGACATTTTACTGATTGACTGCGCAATTAATCATACATTTATTTATGCGCAATTGTTATTGATTACAAAAGTTTTAAAACCCTGGGTATGGATTTTCAATTTATTTTGCATTTTCATAAATGCCGTTAAAATTGACCTTTAAACATTTTGGTAACACAAATTTTAATTCTCTCCAAAGAGATTACCGACAAATGCGTAGTTGTTGCTTCTCGTTGGGGTGCGTGGGTTTTTAATATATAAGCAAATCAAACTTAATGACCCTTGTAGGAAAAATCGTTTTCCCGCACGCTTCATTACTTCATCAAGTGGCGTCGCGTATTACAAAATAATTGCTTTTACATTGATTTTGGCGATATTTATATTCAACCACCTGATTGGCTTTTTTTGGCGCGAATTTGCAAATTTAGGTTATCTACAAGTCGCTTCAATCACAATAGAGTGACATTTTGTTGGTGTGTTCTTCTCAAAATATTCCCACTCTAGCAATGTTTTCAAGAAGAGGTATTTTGTTGTTGATAATGCAATGTAAATCAAAAAAATAAGGAATAAAACTTTAAAAATATTAGTGTTAGTGTCGTGGCAATTTCCATAAAATTTTAATTATGCAGTAATCGAAATACGTTTATCGGGAATTTCACATATGAAAACAATAAAAATTTTCAATATCATTAACGTTTTATGACCTTGTGTATTTCCAATCAGTTTTGTATTGTTTTCCAGGGTATTCAACAAAAATTCACTTCGGGCTATAATAAATGCTCAATTGTCTTAATAGATAGTTAATTACCAGTTCTAGACCAGGGGCGCATTGTGGATTTTTTAAAATCTTGATAGTTTAGTCCTCTTTTGAAAATACATAAAAAAATTGGTAAAAAGTTATTTAGACAAATTTTTTAAATTTCTCAGCTTTTGGATATTTCAGTTTTGAGAATTTTTAGTTTTTCTTTCATTTTTCAATTTTTCGAAATTTCAATTTTTGGGATTTTTCAGTGTACATATTTATTATTCAATTTTTCGATTTTACAATTTCTCAATTTTTCAATTGCACGATTTTTAATTTTTTTCCTCTTCAATTTTACTGTTTTTAAATGTTTGGTTTTTGTAATTTTTCAACTTTTGACTTTTATAAACTCTGTTTTTCGTTTCTTCAATTCTGCAATATTTCAATTTTTTACGTTTATGATTTTTCATTTTTTTAAGGTTTACATTTTTTTACTTCACTTTTTTGAATTTGTATTTCTCATTTTCTCAATTTTTTTAATTTCTCTGTTTTTGGATATTTCAGTTTTGGGAATTTTTAGTTTTTCTTTCGTTTTTCAATTTTTCGAAATTTCATTTTTGGGATTTTTCAGTTTTTCCATTCTTCAGTTTTTCTTTCATTTTTCAATTTTTGAAAATTTCAATTTTGGGATTTTTCAATTCCATTATTATTCAATTTTTCGATTTTACAAGTTCTCAATTTTCCGATGTTTCACTTTAACGTTTTTCCAATTTTTCTCCTCTTCAATTTTACGATTTTTAAATATTTGATTCTTGCAATTTTTCAAATTTGACTATTATAGACTCTGAGTTTTTCGATTTTTCATTTCTTCATTTCTTCAATTTCTCAATTTTTCAATTTTTTAATTTCGAGATTTTTCAGCTTTTCCATCCTTCAGTTTTTCTTTCATTTCTTAATTTTTCAATTTCTAGATTTTCAGTTTTTCGATTTCTCAATTTTCCGATATTTCGGTTTTACGTTTTTTCAGTCTTTCTCCTCTTGAATTTTACGATCTTTAAATAGTTCGATTCTTCAATTTTTGACTTTTATAAACTCTCAATGTTTCGGTTTTTAATTAATCGATGTATTGATTTTCCCATTTCTTCACTTTCGACTGTTTCGATTTTTCAATTCTTCAATTTTCCGATTTTTCAGGAATTTGATTTTTCAATTTTTCTAATTTTTAATGTTTAGATTTTTCGACTTCACTTTTTTGATTTTTCGATTTCTCAGTTTTATAATTGTTTAGATTCTGTTTTTGGAAATTTCAGTTTCGGAATTTTTCAGTTTTCTTTCATTTTTCAGTTTTTCGATGTTTCAGTTTTGAGATTTTTCAATATTTTGATTCGTTAACTTTTCCGTTATTGATTTCCGACTTTTTCGATGTGTCGATTTTTTTACATTTTCGATTTTTCAATTTTTTCATTTTTAGATTTGAATTTTTTCAATTTTTGATATTTCAATTTTTCAATTTTTAAAATTTAAGATTTTTCGATATTTCATTTCAATTCTTCGATAATTCAATAAGGTATTTCAAGTTTCCGAAATTTTTCAAATGTTTCGATTTCTTAATCATTCGATTTTTCGACTCCCTTATTTTAGAGTTTCTATTTTTCGATTTTTCGTTTCTTCAAATTTTAGATTTTTTAATTTTTCATTTTTAAAGTTTTTCGATTTTTCAATGTTTATATTTATCGAGACTTGGATGTTTCGATATTTTGTTGTTTCGTTTCAGTTTTTCCATTCTTTCGTTTTTTCGTTTTTTATTTTCCGCTCTTAGATTTTTCAATTTTCCAACTTTTAACTTTCCGTTTCTTCGATTTTGGCCTATTTCGGTTTCTCAATTTTTCGATTTTTCGACTTCATGACTTTTCGATTTTTGGAATTTTTAAATTTTTTTGATTTTTCGATGAATCGAGATTAGATGTTTCAATCTTTTGATTGTTCAGTTTCTCGATTTATCAATTTTTCAATTGTTAACTTTTCGATTTTTCGATTTTGGCCATTTCGGTTTCACAATTTTTCGACTTTTCGACTTCTTGATTTCTAGATCTTTTGATTTTTCGATTTTTCCATTCTTCAGTTTTTCTTTCATTTTTCAGTTTTTCGGAATTTTAGTTTTGGGATTTTTTGGATTATTTATTATTCAATTTTTCAATTTTACAATTTCTCAATTTTTCGATATTTCAGTTTTACGTTTTTTCAGTTTTTCTCCTCTTCAATTTTACGATTGTTAAATATTTCAATTTTTCAATTTTTGACTTTTACAAACTCTTAATTTTTCGATTTTTCAGGTTTTTGATTTTTCAATTTTTCTATTTTTTAAGGCAACAATTTTTCGACTTTACTTTCTTGATTTTTCGATTTTTCAGTTTTTCAATTTTTTAATTTCTCAGTTTTTCAATTTTTAAAAATTTTAGTTTTGGGATTTTTCAGTGCATTCATTATTCAATTTTTCGATTTTACAAGTTTTCAATTTCACGATTTTCGATTTTTGGATTTCTCAATTTACCGATGTTTCAATTTTACGTTTTTCCTATTTTTCTCATCTCCAATTTTACAATTTTTAAATATTTGGTTTTTGCAATTTTTCAACTTTGATTTTTATAAACTTTCAGTTTTTCGGTTTTTCATTTCTTCAATTCTGCAATATTTCAATTTTTTACGTTTATGATTGTTCAATTTTTTAAGGTTTTGATTTTTCGACTTCACTTTTTTGACTTCTTGATTACTCATTTTTTCAGTTTTTGAATTTCTCAGTTTTTAGATATTTCAGTTTTAAGGTTTTTCTGTTTTTCCGTTCTTCAGTTTTTCTTTCATTTTTTAATTTTTCGATTTTACACTTTCTCAATTTTTCAATTTTTCGATATTTCAGTTTTACGTTTTTTCAATTTTTTTCTTCAATTTTACGATTTTTTAGTATTTCGATTCTTTAATTTCTGACTTTTCTAAATTCTCAATTTTTCGATTTTTCAGTTAATCGATGTTTTGATTTTTCCATTTCTTGACTTTCGACTGTTTCGAGTTTCCTGTTCTACAATTTTTCAATTTTTCGATTTTTCCGGTTTTTGATTTTCAATTTTTTAGATTCTCAGTTTTGAGATATATTTCGATTCTTCAACTTTTCGATTTTTGACTTCTGAATTTTTCGATGTGTCGATTTTTTTACATTTTCGATTTTTCAATTTTTAAAATTTTAGATAATTCAATTTCTCAATTTTTCAAATGTTTCGACTTCCCAGGTTTAGATTTTCTGTTTTTCGATTTTTCGTTTTTTCAAATTTTCAATTTTAAAATTTTTCGATTTTCAATGTTTTGATTTCCCGATTTATCGAGATTTGGATGTTTCGATATTTTGATTGTTCAGTTTCTCGATTTATGAGATTTTCAATTTATAACTTTTCGAATTTTTATTTTGGCCTATTTTCGTTTCTCAGTTTTCCATTTTTTCGTCTTTTCGTTTTTTTCCGCTTTCAGATTTTTCGATTTTCCAATTTTTCAACTTTTAACTTTTCATTTTTTCGATTTTGGCCTATTTCGGTTTCTCAATTTTTCGATTTTTCGACTTCATGACTTTTCGATTTCTCGATTTTTTGATCCTTCGATTTGACAATATTTCAATTTTTCGAATTTAAATTTTTTTTTGATCTATCGAGATTTGGATATTTCGACGTTTTGATTGTTCAATTTGTCGATTTATCAATTTTTCAATTATTAAATTTTGAAATTAGATTTATAAATAAAACTATCTAAATATGTACCAAAAATGGTCATTTATTCTTTATAAAATCCGACCAAACAACTATTTCCCGCAGAATTAATAGTCCAACTCAACCAAATCGCTTACCGAATGACTAAATAATAATATTTGCGATTTTTTTGCAGGTTGGCAACATATTTAAAATTTTATAATGGCACATTTTGAACAGCTGCCAACTTTTCATTGATTTTTAGGCGCGCTTATGTCAAAATCAGAGATTTCTTAGTAAAGTAAAGTGATGCAAGCGGACTTTTAAATACATTTGCCCTATTGCCTTCATCAATTGTATTTTGTGATTATCTAGTAATCCCTGAGAAATGCAATGATTGTTCATGTCGGGATTATTAAAAATCTTTGTAATATTTTTGCGAAACAAAAGAATGATTAGATCTTTCTTTGCATACAACACACACTCTGTAATCCATTTTTAGAAATTCTATGCAATTTAAACTTATAACCGTGATATAAATCTTATAACCTAAGAAATCTCTTAGAACAAACTAACAAACACCGGCGATTGTATGAATTAAGAACCGACTTGCGCTAGCAGAATTTAAGGGTTTACTGCGCAAAATCGTAAATTGCTAGGTTTAAACAAAGACCTACAAAATCATTCTCCTGCGTTCCCATGCTGTAAAAGAAGATGGAAAGCAAAACGCATAGTGTACATGTTGGCCAAGAACGTATGTTCGCTTTTGCATAGGATCACCGTATCTAGGTTACTAAGAAATCTCTGGTCAAAATTGACAACTGCGAAGTGACATGCTAACATTACAGAGATATGTAAAAGATATCTAATGTTACATATCTCTGTAACATTACTGCCAATAATTCAGAATTGCCAATCCAAAAATTTGCTTCTATTATTAATAATAATAATAATAGTCACTCTATAATTCGTAGTTTACTCGAACGTGTGGCAATCTTCAGTAACCAACCTACGAAACAAATAAAATAATATTTTAACAATTCTATGTCGTTTTATTTTATGACCAAGTTCACGACTTGAACATAAAATTTGAACTTTAGATAATCAGAACTGCCTAAATCAAAATCATAAAACTCCCAAGTCAGTCACAATGGAATTGAAAATTTCAATGACAATGATGAATCGCTTTGTGGGACGAAGGCGTTAATTGTATTTTAACAAATCGAGACAATTTTTAAGTGTTTTAAATCTATGGTTGGTTCCCCTAGACGCTACATTAAAGTATGTTCGACCAAATGCGTGACAAATTTTGAAATATGTATAAAATTGTAACTGTTTTCCCACATTTACATTTTACTAATATAATTAACTTTTAGCCCAAACCTCTAACAACTTATCGTGTTACCAATGCATCAGAAACACGAACACGCCCTGTGAGCCCCACGAACTCCAACCCTGTCCGCCTGTGTCGGACAGATGCGTCACACATATCTCCAAAAACGGTAAACTAATTCATACCTTGATTTTTATTATTATTTTTTTTAAGATGTGGCGTGTCTGACTAAAGCCATGTCGATATATTTTTGTTTGGTTTTAACGTGTCTGTTTCAGCTGAAGATGGTTTCTCTATAAAGCGCGAATGCGGGCTGGGTCCTTGTGGTTTCGACGACGACATGGTCAACAAAGGACTGGGTTTCGATTGCGACAGAAGTCGGGCTGAGTACTTTTGTATTTTCTGCTGCAGGGATAGCGGATGTAACAATAGTGAATCAGTGTTCGCCGCTTCTTCTTCGACGGCGCTGTTGGTGACCACGCTTGTTGTCACTTTGTATTGGCGAAATAAATTTTTTGCTTAAAGGGAGGGTTTTTTTCAAAAAAACAATCGTTTGAAATGTGGTACTTTATTGAAAATAAAAAATAATACTCTAATATGTACAGTTCTTACAAAAGTACGTCGAAGCAAATTTTCCTAATATGGTTATGGACATATTCATAGAATATATCTTACAATTTAAGTTAAGTTAACGTTACAATTTCAAAGACGAAAATGGAAGAATGTTTAAAGTGCTGCATTAAAAAAAATTTCGCAAGTTAACAAGTTAAAACAGCGGTAATTTAAAATAATTTATTTACAAAAAAATAACAACTTATAATTCATCTTTAAGTAGAGTATATCTATTTTTGGATGGTGCTAACTTTTTGAAAGTACTTTCTGGTGGAAGTGTTGGTGCTTTTTGAGAAGAGCTAACTTCATCAGTATCAGGCCCATAATGGAACTCCCTGTGTAACTTCCCTGAATAAAGATCTTGCACAAACTGTTTCAGTTTCCCAGGAATTTCCATATCCTTATAACTCGGGAACAAGTACATATGTCTAAAACTATCAATGGCAATGAGTGGTAAGTCTTTCTCCGATTTTCCCAGATGGTGCAACGGATGTGCGAATTTTTTACCATCAGCAGTCAAGAAGTTGATACTCTCTGAAACAAAACAATCAACGAAAGCGTAAACATAACAAATATTTACGTTTTTCAGAAAGTAAGTCCGTTCGAACGATTTCCGTGTATCTTTTAATACTTTCTTTATCATCTGGAGCATGGAAAAGAATCAAAAATGGCAATCCCTCTTCAGTTAGTTCTTCAGCGTTTTCAAAAGTAATTTCACGCACTAAAGGTACACATTTTTCAGACACCCAAATGTGCAACTCATCAAAATTAGTCAAACTGCCTGTGTAAGTCTCGTCTAAATCGTTAGAACGTTCTCTATCCGGTCGGAAAACGATGATGGGTTGACCCGCTGGGTGCATAGTACGAGCGGCTTCTCCAAATCCGACAAAAAATTGACAATCATCCTTGACATTCGTCGCCACTCGCCTGAATATGCTGTATTCAGGTTGGTCGCGTCTATCAAAATAACCTGTAATATTGCAAGATAAGAAATAACGACTTGATAAGTATGCAAAAACGTTATCATTTGGTTGAGTGTCATAAATATTAAAAATGAAGTATGTATAGACTTATTTACATACCAATGACGACTCTTTTGTCTGATTCTAACTCAGTTAGTTCTTTCAGTTCATGGAATTCTTTAACGGGGTCTTCTAGTTGTTTTCTCACGAATTTGACAAAGGCTTCGATCGAGCGTTCTCCTCGGTATTCTCTCTTCGCGGGTTGACCATTACGAATCACTTTAAGAGTTGGATATTTGGTTATGTGGAACCTAGTGGCTACAGAATTCTCCTTATCGCAATCTACTTTCCCCATCACCACTTTCCCAGCATCAGGGAATTCCTGAGCAATCTTATCAGCCGCTTCATCAAAAACTGGCATTAAATTGTTACTAAATCGACACCATTCGGCATAAAAATTAATAAAAACTAGTTCATTGGAAGCTAAAAATTGCCATTAGAATAGTCACAGTCGTATGAAATTCTAATTACCTAAGGTCATATCCAGGTTGTTTTGCGACAACTGCACTGCTCCACTATCCGTAGGATTGTAGAAAACGTAGACTATCTACAAATATACGTCTTTCAAGCGGCAAAATTCTCACTACCAAATTAGGTTATGAAACACCAAATATTTTTCTAGGAGGGCTACGGACATTTAAGTGAAAGTTTCGAAGAATGCGGCGACAGTAACACCCAAAAAAGCGGAAATCGGTGATTTATCACGTGAAAATCCGGTATTTACACGGATTCGTGGCACGTAAAAAAGGAAAAAGATGCGAGTTTCGACTTACCATCAGACATGTGAAAAATGTGAGTTTTAAGTTACTTGTAGTTGTTACGTTGTACATTTTTAAAAATAACGTTAAGAAAACTTTATATATATAGTGTATAACTTTACAAACAAATTCACCCAAGTGCAGCAGCCATCCGAGACAACATCCAATCGAATTTTGACAAATTGATGACGGTTCAAGTGGAACTGTCAAACGTGCCATCTGTTGTTTGGCGGTTTGAAACTACGCCCCTGTAGGGTTGGTTGCCTACATACTAAAATTTGTTATTGTTTTTAAATTTAATAGTAAAACTCAAAAATAGACTGAAACAATTTATTTTAGACAGTTTTTTTTTGTAGTAGTGGTTATGAAAGATTTGACAGGTCACCACTGGTGTTTTTTTTATATCTATTCTAATTCTCTATTATCAATAATGATGCCAGCAACTAAAGTAGGAAAAACGAAAATTTTCGAATTTAACTATTTTCAAATAATTTCTCTCAAGTATAAAATTGTCATAAACAAACTTTTCTTGATCGTTTATGAATAGATAACTTGTTCTGTCCTTGAGCGAGTCGTCATTATTTAAAAAAATGTCTTATTTACCTACCTGATTTAAAAAAATAACGTAGTAGGCAGTGTTTTGCAAGATGGTGACCTAGAACTGTGGCACTTTTCATTTCTGAGAAACATTTTGGTTTATTTTTAAAAATAAGTTTATATAAAACTGGAAAAGTGTTAAAAATTGTTGACTTTTGGACAGTTTGTGTTTTAAGTGCTTTGTGTCGTAGATTTAACTCGAAAAAGGGTTTGAACAACAATGAGTTCGGATACAAAGGTGAAAATTAGGTATCACAGCCTTCTCTATTCCAATTTGAAGGTAAGGTAAAAATTTAGCAAGTTTTTGTAATTCAAATTCCCTGCTTCCAAGAGTGTGACAAAGGTGTCAAAATTTTAGATTTGTGCTGTTTGTGTGTATGTTGTTGCCTTTAAGTACAGTTTGCACCAAAATAAATAAACGTAGGTGACGTATGTGTTGTACAATGTTGTGCATATCAACATTAACACGAGATTTAGATAATTTTAATGGAACAGAACTTGTACCAAATTTCAGGACCAGTGGTAAAGTCGCCAGATATTTTCAAGTCGAAATCTGAATTTTTATAACTAAAAAGCGACTTCTAGGGGAAATGTTTTTTCATTTTGGTTGTAGGCAAATCCTTGAAAGTTTTTTGTCAATATATACCACGTGTTTCTTTTATTTGATACAACCCCCGTAATTTTTTTATTTTAATAAATAAACATATAGTTCTTTGACCAAATTTGTATCATTTTAAAAGATCGCCTATGTGAATAAACGACATGAGTGTCAATTTTTCAACCTACTAGATTGTCATCAATTAATATAAATTTTTCGTGTATTTTATTTAATAATTTTTTTAAGTATTGATTTTACAAATATTGGTTGCCTTTGATTTTTAGAAAAAATCGGTCTTTCCATTTATGAAAAAATATACCAAGTGTCCCATAAAAAAATAAAGTTGATGTCATTTCCGGTTCTACCGGAAGTGATAATATAAATGTGAGATTGCCATCACATAGATCTTCTAGGCCCGGTTTTACAAATGTCCGGTTCATCACGGATACATTTGTTCAAAGAACTACAGATTTATCATTAAGAATAAAAAAAGTTACAGGGGTTGGATCAAATAAAAGAAACACCCTGTATACAGGTTTCTTTTAACAGCGTACTTAAAAACATGTTTCAGACGGTAAGCTTTTGAAGATAAATAAGGATTTTGCTATTAAACTCAGCCCCTGGGCTCACAACGAATATAAATGTGTATCATAGAAACATTTTGAATTTGAGCCCTACTTGTCTATTTACCTATTTTTGATCCTTGATATTTTGCCTTTTTGTGCCTATTTTGTTTTAAAATCTGGGTTTTCTATACCCCTAAACACATGATTCTTGCGAAGGTCGAAAATTGAAAAATCTAAAACCGAGAAGTCAAAAAATCGAAAATATACAAATCGAAATATCAAAATTTAAAAATTTAATAAACTGAAAAACCCAATAATTGAAAAATTAAAAAAGAATCGAGAAACCAAAAAATCTAAAATTTTAAAAATTGAAAAAGTATAATTTCGAAAAACTAAAAAATCGAGAAATTAGAAAAATCTAAAATTTAAAAATCGAAAAATTAAAAAATCAGAAAAAGCGAAACTGAACAACCAAAAAATAGAAACACAATTATTCGTCGTGAGCCAAGGTAGGCGGAGCAAAATTCGTATTTTTCTACAAGAATTATCATGTGAAACATGTTCTTTAGTGATCGTGTTGCTCAACAAAAATATATGTATTAAGTAAAAAAAAGCCAAAAGATAAGCCCCACCCATGTCTCCATCTCAACCGTGATGAATTTTTCATTCGTTGTGAGACCAACATTTCCCGTTTTAAACATGTTTTAAGTTTCTTGTTGTGAAAAGACGACTATGCATATTAAGAAAAATGGCAAAATGTAAGCCCCACCCATCCACCCTATCTCAATTGTGATGATTTTTTTTATTCGTCGTGAGCCAAGAGGGTGGCGATTAATTACAAAATCTTTGTTTCTTTACAAGAAATTACCATGTGAAACATATTTTGTTGTTGTTGACATAGTAACGAAGAGTGTTACACAGTCTACTTTTTTTTAAAATGGTCTGTTTTTAACAATATGATAATACTTAAAACATGTTTTGGTGAAAAATTAATCACAGTTGAGCTCAGGGAGGGTGAACGGGGTTTATTTTTTTTTGAAATTGAAAAATCTAAAATTTCAAAATCGGAAAATTAAAAAATCAGAAAAGGGAAATTGAACAACGAAAAAATAGAAACACAATTGTTCGTTGTGAGCCAAGGGGGGCGGAGCTTAACTGCAAAATTCATATTTTTCTACAAGTATTATCTTATGAAACATCGTGTTCCTCAAAGAAAAATATCTGTATTAAGTAAAAAAAAGCCAAAAGATAAGCCCCATCCATGTCTCGATCTCAACCGTGATGAATTTTTCATTCGTTGTGCGACCAATATTTCCCGTTTTAAACATGTTTTAAGTTTCTTGTTGTGAAAAGACGACTATGCATATTAAGAAAAAAAAAGCAAAATGTAAGCCCCACCCACCCACCCTATCTCAATTGTGATGATTTTTTTTATTCGTCGTGAGCCAAGAGGGCGGAGATTAATCAAAATCTTTGTTTCTTTACAAGAAATTACCATGTGAAACATATTTTGTTCTTGTTGACATAGTAAGGGAGAGGGGGTGACACAGTCTCCTTGTCTTTAAAATGATTTATTTTTAAGAATATGACAATATTTAAAGAACGTTTTGGTGAAAAATTCATCACAACTGAAATCAGGGCGGGTGGGTGGGGCTTTATTTTTGTCAATATATACAGGTTTCTTTCAACAGCGTACTTAAAAACATGTTTTAGACGGTAAGGTTTTGAAGAGAAATAAGGACTAAGAAATTAAACTCCGCCCCTGGGCTCACAACGATTAACATCATTACAATTGAGGTGGTGGTGAGTAGGCGGGGGTTAAATTTTGCCTGTTTTCCGGACATACGTAACAATCTTTTCATGACAAGAGATTTAAAACATTTAAAATGGTACATTTACAACGAATGAAAAATTCATCACATTTGAGGTTGAGGCGGGTGGGCGTGGCTTAATTATTGACTGTTTTTTCTTTCCATACATAGTTTTCTTTCAACATGTCACTTAAAAGCATGTTTCGTATGTTAGTTTCTTGCAGAGAAATAAGCATTTTGCAATTAAGCTCCACCCTCGGCTTACGACGAATAAAAACGTTGTCACAATTGAGATAAGGGCGGGTGGGCGGGGTTTACATGCCTGTTTTTTCTTATTATATCTACATAGTATTCTTTTAAAGACAATAAACTGAAAATATGTGTAAAAGGGTAAATTTGTAGAGCAGTGTGGGGGATAAAATTTACCACTTTAAACATGTTTTTAGTTTCTTGTTGTGAAGGGAAAACTATGTATATCAAGAAGAAATGCAAAATATAAGCCCCACCCACCCACCCTATCTCAATTTAGATGATTTTTTTTATTCGTCTTGAGCCAAGGGGGCGGAGCTTAATTGCAAAATATTTGTTTTTCTGCAAAAAATTACCCTGTGAAACATGTTTTATTATTGTTGAGATAGTAAGAGAGAGGGCGTTATATAGTCTCTTTTTTTTCAATTAAGTCTATTTTTAAAAATTTGGTAATACCTAAAATGATGAAAAATTCATATCAACTGAGATTAGGGCGGGTGGGTGGGGCTATATTTTTGCTTTTTTTATTAATATATACGGATTTCTTTTAACACCGTACTTTAAAACATGTTTCAGACGGCAAGTTTTTGAAGAGAAATAAGGATTTTGCAAGTAAACTCCGCCCCTGGGCTCACAGCGAATAACATCATTACAAGTGTTGGGTAGGCGGGGCTTAAACAATCTGTTCACGACAAGATACTTAAAACGTTTAAAATGTCGGGAAACATCGATTTTACAATTAAGCTCTGCCTCTCGGACTGACAACGAATGAAAAATTCATCACATTTGAGGTTGGGGCGGGTGGGCCCCATCTCTACATATATAGTTTTCTTTCAACAACATGTTACTCAAAAAATATGTTTCATGTGATAGTTTCTTGTAGAGAAATAATCATTTTGCAATTAAGCTCCACCTCTCGGCTCACGACGAATAAAACGTTTTCAGAATTGAGATAAGGGCGGGTGGGCGGGGTTTTTCACTTTGGTTGTAGGCAAATGCCTGAAAGTTGGATATCTTATAAATTTTTTTTATTCGAACTCTACTTGTTTTTGCCTATTTGCCTATTTTGATCCTTAACATTTTGCTTTTTTTGTGTCCATTTTGTTCTAAAATCTGGATTGTCTATACCCCTAAGCCCATGTTTCTTGTGAAGGTCGAAAATTGAAAATCGAAACATCTAAAACCTAGAAGTCAAAAATTCGAAAAATAGAGAAATCGAACACTGAAAAAACCCAAAATTTAAAAATTTGATAAATGGAAAAATCTAAGAACTGAAAAATCAAAGAATCGAGAAATAAAATATAATAAAATATCTAAAATTTTAAAAATTGAAAAAGTAAAATTCCGAAAAATTAAAAAATCAAAAAAGATAAATTGAACAACCAAAAAATAGAAACACAATTGTTCGTCGTGGGTCAAGGAGGGCGGAGTTTAATTTCAAAAATCGGTTTTTTCTACAAGAAGTATTATCATATGAAACATGTTCTTCAGTGATCGTGTTGCTCAAAGAAAAATATATGTATTAAGTAAAAAAAAGCCCCACCCATGTTTCGATCCAACCGTGATGAATTTTTCATTCGTTGGCAGACCGAATAGCAAAATCCATATTTCCTGTTTTAAATATGTTTTAAGTTTCTTGTTGGGAAAAGAAGACTACGTATATTAAGAAAAATGGCAAAGTATAAGCCCCGCCCACCCACCCTTTCTCAATTGTGTTGATGGTTTTAGATGTAAAACATGTTTTTGAGTATGGTGTTTTTCAAAGAATATTATGTATATTAAGTAATAAATAAATCCAAAGATTAAGATTGTCACACCAGGAAACGGAGCGTAATGCAAAATCCATATTTCCCTACAAAAATTTACTATTTTAAGCATGTTTTAAGTTCTTGTTGTGAAAAGATAACTAAACTATGTATATTAAGAAGAAAAAAAGCAAAATACAGTTATCAAAACACACATGCATTGATTTTTTGTTGTACATTTTTTTTTGCTTACATAATTTTTTTGCACAGTGCTGAGATTTTTTTGCTTTTTTTGAAAGTAAAGCTCTTATCATTATTTAAATCTTGAAAACATAATTCTAGTTGTGAAAATTTGAAGTAGTTCCAGAACATAGCGCTTTTTAAGTGTAATTTGTTTTTGTCGATAATTTGGTGAAAATATGTCAAGGAGCATTGTCGGCTTCAAAAAGCACAGAAATATAAACAATTTATTGTTTCGTCGATACATCAATACATTCATTAATATCAAGCAGTCATATTTTATGTACTTAGTTTGCTTGTAATAATTTACATAAAAATATTTTATACCAATTCTATTTACCGCAAGGGTGTATTTCCTAATACTTTTGCTTCTACCTACAATAAGTTGATTATGGTTGTCGTCACAATATAAAAATTATTTAGACATAGTAGTTGATTATTGTTAAAAGTGATAACAATCCTTCATAGATCACTGTTAAGCCGAAGCCACTTATTTATCACTTCCAGAATTCATCAAGTGAATCTTCTAGTTCCGCTCAGTTACTTTTCCCAGATGCCATATCTGTGTAGTACTGTGGACAGTCGTTTGTAGGCGTTTGAATCTTCTTCGCAATTTTCACTGGCGTTTCGTAACCTTGAGTGTTAATGTCGTTCTGATTATTATCAGGCTCTGGTAGAAAATTCGCCGATTCTTGAAGTTTGTCCCTTGAAGCGCACTTTATGTAAGACTGTGATTTCGACAAATAGTTCAAAGGGTTGGTTTCGGACTTTTCCGAAGGTTCTGAAACTGGAAAAACAAAACAATTATTTTGTTAAAAAACCAACTGTTCGTAGTTGAGTATTGTTGGACCTTAAAAGAGATTCCACAGAAGTCACAGAACTAAATCGATAGACAAATTTAGCAAATCTGATATGGAACTGTACCTAAATATAGGTACAAGATATGTTAGAACTTACCTGAACTGTCCTCAAACGGTGAGCAAAAGTAGCTTCTGTTGTGTATGGCGTTATTAGCCAAATCTAAGTACTCTACTTCGTCGCTCAGCATTTTTTCCCAAAGGGCCGAGAGTTCCTGGAATGTGGGTCTTTGTTCCGGGTCGATATGCCAACAGCTCCTCATTATGTTATATAAAGTAGGGGAGCAATTGTCGGGCCTTTCCATTCTGTACCCCTGCTTTAGCAAATGAAAGAGATTCTGGACGGCAATTCCAGGGTATGGAGTGGCTCCTAATGTCACCAACTCCCACACGAGTATCCCGAAACTCCACACGTCTGATTTATTGGTATAGATATGGTCCGAGAGTGATTCAGGTGCCATCCATTTTACGGGAACTGAAAGAAAAGAAAAAGGAGTAGACGCAAGCTTTGATGATTAATGGTTTTCATTTAAAAGTTGCTTGAAAGATGCAAAATTGGGGAAGATGAGAATATGCTAAGTTTTATTGTGGTAACTTGAAGGGAAATCTATTGGGGATCTCATTTCCCGTTGTGAACGTATAGACGGTATTAATTCTAAAATCGAAGAGAGGTAAATGTACTCAGGAAATTGGAACGATTTGGTGGTTGTTTTTTCAGATAAATGAGTTCTTTATAAGAATTGAAAGTGTTATTATGTGTGCTGCAGGGCAATCTCCTTACCTCTTCCTTTGCTTTTTTTGAAATAGGCATCGTCCTCGTAAATATCCCTTGTAAGCCCAAAATCCGATATTTTACACACTTTATCAGCCGCCAATAAAACGTTCCTCGCCGCTAAATCCCGATGGACCAACTGGAAAAAAGTAATAAGACTCCTCAAAGTAAACGTGAAAAAGCTTTACTTTGATCTCACTTAAATAAGCCATCCCTTTACATATTTGCCACGCAAACGACAAAATCTCCTTAGGAGTTACTTTCGATATATTTGGCTCGTCGTAATGAATCTCAGTTTCGTCTACTGCGGACGTCGGCAGTCTCCCACACTCGGATTTTAGGTGGCGGCTTCTTCTTAAGTAATTCCTGCGGCAACATCCACAAATAATGTCATTATTTACCGTCAGGAGTGGGATTTACCTTAAGGAGCCGTGTTCCGCAAACTCTATAATCAAATAAATTGGCCCACCTGGAGTGGTGCAAACACCAAGAAGACGAATTACGTTAGGGTGGGAAACTTCCTTGAGGAGTTGGTACTCGGAAAGGAGGTCGTTGAGTTCGGATTCTCTCGCGTCGTCTTTGAGGGTTTTCACGGCGACGGTCGTGTGGCCTGGATTCAGAGAAGTGGGTTGATTTGAAAAAAAGGTTAAAAGTTGGGGAGATATCGAACATTTTGCGTGATAATTTTATAAATTGAGTGTTCTGGTTTTTATCTCGATACTCAGAGGTAGCTTTAAAAAAGTTTTAATAAACTTACCTTGCTGTCCGGCGATATTCATGGCCTTGGCCCTCAGAACCTTCCCGAATTCTCCCTCCCCCAGCGTCTGCTCAATGATCAGTAGGTTCCTTGGGAACTCCCATTTGGGATCAGGCTGCAGATTTCTCGTCTTACTACTTAATGACACACTTGTAAGCATAACATTACCGCGTACTTGTTGATGATATTCAAGATGGCCGTATCAGCTAAAGACGTGGTCATGTCGAAACTTAATGGGATGGGGTCCGGTGCTGAGCGGTCGATGTAGTCGGAAAGAGGAGCTGAGAGATCTTGGTTTTCGTCGCTAAATTTATTACGGACGACTTTATGGACACTGTCTAATTTCCAACATATCACGATCAAAGCGACGGCTCCTCCAAGAAAGAGCACTCCGGCGACGATCCCGAACACGCAAGTTGTGCCACAACGGGCCAACTCTATTCCCAAGATCTTGCTGGTGACGTTGCCTGTATGTCTGCTCACGTTGGCTTGGACAAAGAGTGTGTGGTTTACGGTCGGAGACTGGTCTAGGGTCTTTGCGGGTTTACCCTTTTTGCCGAGTTTAGGGATGACATTGTATTCTAGGGTATTGCACTGACAGGTGATCTCCGAGCAAGTGCAGACACCGCTGGCGCGGTAAATGCCGCGGTTTGTGGCTTTATTTTTTTCGGCAGGGAAAAGGACGTTGTCTGTAAGAAATTTGAAACATTTGTTTTGAAATGTCTGTTAATCTGAAATTTCTGCTAAGTTAGGGAAATTATCCCTATACAAGGTGATTGCGAAATACATGCAAAAAAAAAATGGGGAACAGCTCACAATATGATCATAAAATTCACGGTCCTAAATGGTAGCAGTGCCTAGAAAAAATTATTTGAAATTACATGTAAATTGTTATGCGCGCCGCTGGCAATATTTCGTGACCTACATAATTACTACAATGAATGGGACCGAGCGACTCCGATTAAGAACCAAAAAAGTGACTTTATGAGGCATATTTTTAATCGCAACGTGAAAAACACGAAAAGGGCCAGTCATCATCGAGCGGTCGGTGAAATCGGTTTATGGTGCAGTTTTCCCATGCAAAATGTGTCGATATGCCCCATTCGATTTTTAATTTGCTTTTTCTATATTTCGATTCTACTAGGGTGGAGGATGCCCTGGTTAAAATTATTGCATATATTTCGCAGTCACCCTGTATGTTTGCTAAATTTATGATCAATAAACATTTACCTGTACAGTCCTGCGGACAAATCATATGATGTAATTGCTCCAATTCATCACAGACTTCATCTGGACACGTTTCTGTATCCGGTGTACAAGTGGAGTACAAAGTGGTAGTTTCATTCGAAGGAGTTCTTTCACCCCTCCACATGCATCTCTCCGGGCCTTCCCTGAAACAATAAACCCCCACCTGCTTAGCAATTACCGATTTTACTACTGCGTCTAATTAAAATCAATTTTATGGCAGGAAGAGTCTATTGCCTCTCCGTCCGAGACAGCTATTGGCTCGACTCGGTACTTAAACCCCATCACGTTATCGGAACTGTTTACCTTTTCTTAACACTCGATGATCCGCCGGTCGATAAAGCGCACGACTTCGGACTCAAACACTCCTCCGGGTTTGAGAACTCGGAACACCAATACAGTTTATTAATATTCGTAAAGTTGAGGCAGGTTTTCGTTGGTTCATTCACTATATGAACGGCAATTTCATCAAATTTCTTGGTGTTGTTGTTGTCGGTCCAGGAGATGTTTAGCCTGAAAGAGGAGAACGAGGCTGTGTGGAATTGGAGTAATTTCTGAATTGCTGAAATTCTATTGGCACCACTGATATGGCATTGTTGTGATAACTGATTGATTGCCGACTGGAATGCTGGTATTTATTGTAGTTCAAAGAATTTATTTCTAAGTTTTTAAATTTTTTTATTTATGTATACACTCAACGTTATTTTCTTAAATGTTACGTTATTTTAAAAATTATTTCTCAGCATTGTCACACAACTGGAATTGAATCAAAATTCGTTACTACGTTATGTTATGAAACGCTCCTTTCAGGAATATTTGTCTACGTGATATTTTTATGAAGTGACGCATTCTTGTCAGGTAAAAATTAGTCTCCGTTACAAGAAAAAGAGTCGTGCGTGCCGATCCTCGATTATCCTTTATCTGTAAAGTCACCTCACGTATTCCGGAGCATTCCTTAAATTTCCGGCGTCGTGTACGAAAACAATCCCTCCGGAGTAGGTCACGTTGAAAATGTCTTCATGTTCGGCAACAACCGGTCGTAAGGTAAAGTGTTTCGCCCCATTCATATTCTTGATAGCTGGCTGTGTTAATCTGGCTAAAGGAGCAGCGGTTCTAAAGCGGAACAAAGCGATTTACTTTATAAAACTTCGAGTGAAACGAGGTAATCACCTGAAAATTTTAACTTTATTGCTCGGATAGAGATGGGGCGGCTTCAGCAGTTTCTTTATCATCTCCGGATGATATCCTGACTCATTGGGGAAGTGTAAATCAATAGGCACCGTAACCTGGAATTAACCGGAAGGGAAGTAGATCATATAAGATAATAATCGCTCCGGTATTAGCCTCGCTCTAATTATTATGTATTGGCTACACTTTGTGCATAAATAAGAGGGCGAGTTGAGAAATTTCTAGCACGCCATACAGGTTTAAAATTCGTGCTTTATAAAGCTTTAGAGTTCTTAGTAATAAGTGCAAAGTATCAAGTAGTTGAGTACAATGATGTCATCAAACTATTTTAGTATTAAGTAGACAAATTCGTGAAGACTGTGTTAAATAATGACACTACCTCTAAAAAGGAAAATATAGTCTTTTATTACCACGCGAATTTTTCAAATTACCCACGTCATAATCGCGCCGTTATTAGCCTCGTTCTAATTATCTATTGGCTGGATCTTCTACATAAATAACATAAAACGTGATGAGTTTGCACATTATTTATGACGTTGATATAAAGTGCAACATCACCTAATTCGGGGTTGATGGAACACGTAATGAATTTAAATGGGGCTTACCGTTTTATTTCCATTAATGAGGGCGGTGTCGTTGAGTTGGAGGACGACAGAGTAAGTCCATTTTTCGATGGGCATGGTTTTCGTGAATTTTAATTCTGGAACAGAGCGTAAAATGATTGCGGGTTGGTTACGGTTCGTAGTAAATTCAAGGCGGCGGACGTTTTCAGAAAAAGGGTGTGTTATTGTAGGTTAGCCGAATAATAAGAATGTTAAAAATGTATAAATGTCAAAGGGCTACGTTTCTAAAAAACGTAGAGTTATAGTTTAATTTGTAAAATAAAGACTGAATTAAATTTTAATGGTTAGTTGTGTCGGTTTTTTGTGCGTACAAATGAAAATTGAGAACCGCATTTTTGTTGGAATAAAGTACATAGAGAAATCTGGCTTCTATAATTTTTTGGGTAACGCAGATGTAAAATGTCACGAACTTTGGCCGCCTTGTGTAACTTATAATGCCAACATGCTTTAATATCGTTTGACAAATATGATATTATAAATTTTAAAAGTAATTTGGCGTGTCTGAAAAAACGCTGTTTCATTTTTTCAGCAGCCAAGTGGAGCTTACTTTCCCCATTCACTGTAATATGTCTTCGTTTTTTGAACTTAAACAGAGCTTCCTTTCGTGGCGTGAAAAATTACACTTACCGTGATATAGACACGAACCACATTAAAGTACTTTCTTTAAGTCCTTAAAGTAATTAGTTTATTCTGAAAAAGCTGCAAGCTTTTGTTGTAGCGAGCCAACGCAAAGAATGTTTATTTAATGATTTACGTAAGAAACACAAAAAGACATGTAAATTGTGAATAAACATACCTTCAATTTCATTAAGTAGCAAGTTTAAGTTTTTTGTAAAATTCGCCTCGTTAAGAGAAATTGTGCGCTTTTATTATTATTTCTAAATAAAGACAAATATTTCAACAAAAATAACTTGAAGTATTAAACTTACTGCAGTGAACGGCAGTTTGAACTTCCTGTTTCAGATGATCATCGCGATACTTGTTGCACTGTGCTTTCAAGATTTTCAGCGTGTCGTTCAAAACGGTGGGCTTGTACCTGTTAACGTCGTACGAATCCTTGTCGCTGAAAATTAAATCCTTGTGTGCCACCTCGTGATCCTGCAAACCAAATATTTTATTGAACAAATACGAACACATTGTTTTCGACAAGTTTAATCGAGTGAATTATTCCATTTGAAAGCTTCGCCGAACCTTTCACCTGTAAATTCTCTCAAATGGAATTTATCCCATCATCAAATAGATGTACCATTTTGTTGTTTTAGTTTAGTTGCAGGCGATAAGACTACGGTTTACGATATTCCACGAAGTTGGAGAACGACGCGCCTATCACACAATTTAAATAGCGGTTAATGGTGCACGACTGGATTTACGGTTTTGTCGCAATGCAGATGTTATCTAAAGCTGTAAATAAATAAAAGAATGTTTCCGGAATCGGTGAGATTGTAATTCGCTTTCTAATCTGTTTCGGGATACATTTGTTGCGGAGGATCTTCGAGATAATCGCGAGATTACGGAACAATTTCGAGGATGCATGTACTTCGTGGAATTCTAGGATCGTATCGTATTTTAATATAAGATATACGATGCTCTTCGTGTTCACTTTATGAGTCGGTCCTTTTTTTCAGAGAGTGGGGGTGAAAGAAGTGTGGATTAAGTGGGGCGAATATAATTGGAAGTGTACATAGCTCTGAAAATATGGCGCAGAGATAATCTGAAAAGACTGATAAAATTAATTCTTTTGTTGACAATTAATTTTATGGTGTTTTTGTTTTGTTTGTTGTGCTTAATGAAATTAGAAAAAAAAACATCATCGAAACGGACTGCTAAAAATAAACATTGTGTTGGTAATGGTATTGTGTGCTAAAAATAGAAATTTTGTTGCTGACTTATTATTAAAATATATAGGACAATTATTGATTTATTTTCTACGTACACTTATTATTTACGTCAATCCATTGTGATCATCATAATTTCATTAAAGCGTAATTATAGTCGTGAGGTAGCCTTAATGACGTCTCGTCTTAATGGCACATGTTGATGTGAACCGTCATTGTTTCGTGTGTGGGTAGAGTAAACCGATTGTTTTTATGACATTTTGATATTTGGATAAATGTTTGTATCCCCAGTTAATGTTCCAGTAGTATTTAGTTACGTATGATGAGGGAAATAATCCTCTTTAAATTGGAATGCTGAAACCCTTGTGTACACCTACTAAAGTTTCTTAATATTGTTAATTAGAACCAATTTAGTTTCATCATGAGAGAAATTGCAGCTAATTAGCTGATTTATTGTCAAATCGATAATATTTCAAACATGTCACAAGCTAGAAATGGTAATAGTCAAAGTTTAAGGAAGTTTAATCACGACCAATTTTCTCAGCACGCAAAACAAATAAAACTGTGAAATGGAGGTTCGAATATTGACCTATTTATTACAGGTAAACCAGAAGATTATAACTTTCCTGTATAAAAATTTTACAGCGACAAACTTACAAATATTCTTAAATTATCATACTGAAACCAAAATGTGTGTTTTATTCATACATTCATATCCACCGTGCGTTAAATTCTCGTAAAGTAGCCCAGAATTATTTCATTTTTTCCGCCCACTAAATCATCCCATCTCCAGTTCTGTTCTTAACGACATGTCGCTAATGTCGTGACTTATTGTTCTTGGATTCTCCCTCTTGCCAACTGCTTCATTACGAAAATTACCACTATACGACTTTACACTTTGTGCGTTCACTCCCAACTATTCTCGGTATGCGAAGTTTCACTAGTTCATTTAACACCAGTTCTATGTGGAGGCGAAAACTCGCCCGATTTTTTTAAAGCCAGAATGTGTACAAGCCATTAGAAATATCGCAGGAACTTCGAGAAATCTTGAATTATAAATATTTTAATTTCCGGCGAGAGATACAAAGAGCCACAAAAACCACACTCTTTACTTATTAACGCTTGGCGAAGAGCGCTGCAGTGAAGGTAGAGTGAAGCAATTTTGATTATATAAGTTGAAGTCTGTTCTGATGATCTTAATAGTCCTTGATAGGACTAAGAGAATAGAACCGCTTAACAATGATTTAATTCAGTGAAAGCTTGAATGGATGGGTGGAGTGCGTCGTTGACTTCATCCGTCAAATTTGAGCCGACCTTCGAGAGGTGAAGGATTGGGGTTAATTCATGGGTAGTCTGCGCATCAAGATTGTGCGATTTTTACCTTTCGTTTTTACAAATAATAGACAGTTAAATGTAGAATTTAATTATAAAAGTTCATTTTTTAATTAGATTTTTTTATATTGGTTTGATGTACTATCACACGCAAAAGTATTGTCGCTAACCAGCAGCGAGGGGTATAAAGCTCCTCCGCCTTCTCTCTGCGGGTGGCCATAATTCCCTAAACACTCAGGTAGACTAAAATCGACAAGGACTAAAGTTTTCTTGCTTGATTACAGTGATTGATTACACAGTACCTTCTTCAGGTGGAAACTAAATATGTTGTAGTGTCACACAATAACCGCCACATCCGTTCGAACCATTATTTTTTAACTATAATGAATATTTAAATTTATCATGGGTAGATTTTAAATTGGAAGTGGTGTTTTTTATCAACCTGACTTAGTGAGAAATTGAATAAACTGACGAATATTGACAATTTTATTTATTTCAATTTTGATTGCTCGTTTATTTAAATTTTAGATTATTCACTTTTTTGTTGTTTCGTTTCCTCAATTTTTCGATTTTTTGTTTTCTCGTTTTTAGATTTTTCGATTCTTCAATTTTTCGGAATTAATTTTTCAGTTTTTCAGTATTTAGATTTTTGAATTTTCGATTTACCGATTTTCTTTCAATTTTTCGCCTTCTCGTTTTTGAATTTTCTGGTTTTTCAATCTTTCGGTATTTTTCAGTTTTTCGATGTTTCGAATTTTCACTTTTTGGTTTATCGGTTTTTTCAGTTAAAATTTTTCGATTTTTGGCCACTTCCATTTTTGAATTTTTCGATTTCGATTTCCCAGTTCTTCGACAATAATTCATCTTTTCGATTTTTCGATTTTCCAATTTCTCAACGTTTCAGTTTTGGGATTTATGTATTTAAATTTTTTAATTTTTCAATTTTTGGTATATCTAAATTTTTAGATTTTTCTTTTTTTCAATTTCTCGATTAATGGATTTTTTTTAATTTTCCGACTTTTCGATTTTTCGTCATTCCGATTTCTTGGTTTCCCAATTTTTCGATTTTCAAATTTTCACTGTTTAAGTTTTGGGATTTTTCAATATGTATTTCGATTTTTAAATTTTTAGATTTTTCGACTTTCTGTTTTTTTGATTTTTTACTTATTCGATTTTTCAAAATTTAGCAATTTTTTAAATCTTACATTTTTCGATTTGTTGCTGCTTTGATTGCCCGATTTTTAAATTTTCAATTTTTCGAATTCTTCAATTTTTCGGAATTAATCTTTCAGTTGTTCGATATTTCGATTTTTCAATGTTCAATTTAACGGTTTTCTTTCGATTTTTCGCTTTCTCAATTTTAAATTTTAAGCGTTTTCAATTTTTCGGAATTTTTCAATTTTCCGATTATTCACTTTTTGATTTATCGGTTTTTTTAGAGAAGTTAAAATTTTTTAATTTTTAGCCACTTCCCTTTCTCAATTTTTCCATTTTACGACTTCTCGAATTCTCGATTTTGATGTTTCAATTTCGCGATTTTTCAGTGTTTCAGTTTTGGGATTTATGTATCTAAGTTTTTTAATTTTTCAATTTTTGGCGTTTCTAAATTTTTGGATCTTTCGATTTCTCAGTCTTTCGATATTTTGCCCTTTCATTTTTAGATTTTTCGGAATTAATTTTTCAGTTTTTCGATATTTTAATGTTTCAATTTTTCGATTTATCGGTTTTTTTAAATTTAAATTTTTCAATTTTAACGTATTTTTGTCACTTTTAATAATTGATGCTATTTTGCCATTTTTCGATTTTTCGATGTTCCCATTTCGTGTTTTTTCAATTTTTCGATTTCGATTTCTTGATTTCTGGGCTTTTTGATTATTCAAGTTTCCAATTTTTCGACGTTTTATTTTTAGGATATAGGTATTTAAATTTTTCGATTTTTCAGTTTTTGGCGTTTCTAAATTTTTGGATTTTTCGATTTCTCAATTTCTTGATTAACCGATTTTTAAATTTTTCGATTTCTAGTTTACGTTTTGGGATTTTTCGACTTTCTGTTTTTTTTTTATTTTTTACTTACTCGATTTTTCAAAATTTTGCGAGTTTTTAAATCTTACATTTTTCAACATTTTCATCTATTCGATTTTTAATTTTTAGATTTTTGGATTTTTTAGATTTTTAAAATTCTTGATTTTTCAGTTTTTGGTTTTATCGATACATATTTTGATTTCTCCTTCAAAAACGAAACACGATGTATTGAAAAAAAAGGACGCTAGGAGGTCCTAAGTTTCTGTAAAATTGTTTCCAAATGAAGAAAAGAACTTCACGGATTCTCGAGGTTTTTTTAAAGTATTTTAAAAACAAAACACAAGAGGCCCCCAACGTTTTGTTATATAATAAAAAACATTAGGCGCCTGCAAGACTTTCTCTTTTAAACGCAAAAAAATTGATCTAAAGTTATTTCGACAGATGTTCCCTCGTCTCTGAAGTAAAAACATAATTACAGTACATGCCCAACTTCAATTGTTTATGTTTACATTTCGAAAGAATGCCATAATTAAGCTTGCAGCAAATTGTCTGCTCAAAACAGAGGGAGTGATTAAAATTATTAAGTGATAACGCAGCCAAAAGTTCTGAATATTATTTTAGGTAAGTCGATGTTATTATGAAAATTTTTATTTTATCATTATTAAATATAGGTGGGCGCAACATTACTGTATTCTAAGATTTTCGAGCCCGGCAGCCTCCACAAACCAGTGCTCGTAAATTGAAAAATCGACATATGTATCGAAAAACCGAAAAATTAATTCCAAAAAATCGAAAAATCTAAAAACGAGAGGACAAAAAAATCGAAAGATTGAGTAATCGAAACAACAAAAAAGTGAAAAATCTAGAATTTAAAAACTTAAAAAATTGAAAATTTAAAAAATCGAGCATCAATAAATCGAACAATCAAAAAACCGAAAAATCGAAAAATGGAAGATTTAAAAAGTCGCAATATTTTGAAAAATCGAATAAGTAAAAAATCAAAAACATGTAAAGTCGAAAAATCGCAAAATTTAAAAGTCGAAGTACTTATTTAAGTCCCAAAATTAAATAGATATAAGATAAATAGAAGATAATATTTATATTTTTAATTTTATATTTCATTCCGAGATTTCGTATTGTTTTAATTTCGAGTTGTCAATATTCGTCAGTTTATTCGATTTCTCACTAAGTCAAGTCGATAAAAAAGCACCGCTTCCAATTTAAAATCTACCCATGATAAATTTAAGTATTCATTTTTGTTAATAAATACTCCTAATGGTTTGTTCGGATATGGGGGTTACTTGTTTACTCCATTAATTTACTTTTATGTGAAGAAAAGTACTTTCTGAGTTGAGCGTATTTTATTGTGTGATACTACAACACTGTAAATCAATTTCTGTAATTAAGCAAGGAAACTTTAGCCCTTTTCCATTTTATTCTACCTGAGTCTTTAGGGAATTATGTCAACCCGCAGAGAGAAGGCGGAGGAGCTTAATACCCCTGGTTGCTGAGTACTGAGAAAACTTTTGCGTGCGATAGTACATTTCAGTTTTTAGATAATTTGTAAACTTATGACGTCACTGATATTTTAATGAAAATGAACAGACACATTTTGGTTACAGTTTTACCAGTCACATCCAAAATTAATTAATTAATTAACTCAATGGTTTTGACCTTGAATAGTCCAGTATGTTGGAAATATGGAATAAAAATGAACCCGGCGCCTCCACCAAAATTTTAAAGTATTATCAAACCACTGTTAATAAAATATTAGTCAAAGCTTGAAGACTTACTGTGACGTTAAAATTAAAGTGCGAGTCTGTTAGTAGGTATTTATACGTTAATAATTAAATAACTTGTGTATTCCGAGTAATGGTCTAGAATTTATTTGCCAAGTTTAAATCAAATTAAATCCGGTAAAACCAGACTAAAAAAATAAAATTAAATCGTCCGATAAAAACACTCACCTTTACTACGTGCCGCGAGGACATATTTATCTTTATAATCTTCTCCTGCGCTTTAGGTGGATTATCGTCGGTATCCAGAACCGTAACCAGTAGAGTCTTTGTGACATTCCTTACAGAATGTTTCGAGTTTTCAACCGTACACAGCACATCTAGATAGTGTCGTGATTTATCTTCCCTATCTAACGACCTCGTGGATTCAATAGTGTGCAGCCTTCCTACGGAGACTAACCGGAACTCTTCGTTTTTGCTGAGTAGGTTGTAGTTAATTTCACAACTCGCACACATTTCGCGCAAAAAAGGCGAAGCCAAAGACCCGATAAGCCTCGGTTTTGTGTTCTCGCTAATTCGATATTGCACTGTCTTCCAAAAACATAAATCTTCCACTATAAAATCGCAGTCAAGGCCTTCGAATGGCAGAAACTCCAGATTCAAGGATCCGGTCTCCTTATTGGAACTGTCCTGCACGGCTATTTTCGCGGGAATCCCGTCAACATCTGCAACTGACACGTTAATCTAACATTTCTAGAGGAAATTGTATTTACTATAAGACAGGTCAAGATCGTCGTTAGCTCATATTTTCGTCACTGCTTTTGATGCAGGACACACTTACAAAAACATCAGCTATGACTTAGACCATTTTATAGCCAATACAATTTCCTCTGTCCACTTTACTCGTACTTTGGACATTCTTCTCGAAAACTTTCTTCTTGAATGTGACATCTCCCATCGGGGAGATTTGAACGAAGTCGCTGCCTTCGACGACGGAGTAGTTGAAAGGGGAGTCTCCGATAGCGTAGAAAGTAGCCAAAGACTGATTGTTCGGAGGGAACTTACCCTTATCTATAGGGATAGTTACGTTGATATCGCTCATGCTGAAATAGACGGCGTCCGCTGCAATCGAAAAACTATGATAATAAATCTTTGCGGGGGCGAATTTCGATGTAATTCAAAATAAGGGTGTTCGAACATGGTTTGCGTCTGTTCCGTGAATCCCGTCGAAATATGGCCCGCTCAGTTTCCGCTTGTTAAGGGGTGATTTATTAGAGTGTAAAGAATCGGGATGTCGCGAAGGCTTCTTAAGGGAGGGACGTCAATCAACAGAGGATTTAGCATTTGACGTATTGAACGAAATTGTTAATGATGGTGTAGGTCACGGAATGGTTTCTTTATTGGGGGCACAGACGGCTGTGGGGGGCTAAATCTATTCGAGATTACAAAGGATGGAGTTTGTAGTAGGATTAATTGAGGGTTGTGGGGGGTAATATCAATACTATGGAATATTGATGTTTCTGTTATGATAATGTTAGTTTTGCGTAAATAAATACACATTAGTAGGTTCACGATTTTCATATAGTTCTTCTCAGTGTGGTGGTCGGAACTAGTTCCTGGAAATGCCCTTAATGTTATAAAGAAGCACTTCTGTGTGGTTTGTTTCTGGCATGAGACCACTAATAAATCAAAATTTTTGCACTTTATCAATACACTATCCGTTATTTACTACTGCGGGTTTTGCTGAATGCAAGAGCCACGGTCATGTAGGTCATGTCATTTTTACTAAATTTCTCGTTTGTAGGAGTATTTTAAGGTGCTAAAATTTTTCACCCTGTGAAATTTGAAGAAGCAAATCCTTAAATTACGTTTGTATGGTATAAACTTCCGTTTTTAATTAGACTTAGTCCTAACTGTTGAAGCACACGCACATTCCGCCTTCCTCTCGCCAATTTGCTAAAAACGCCCCCGACACCCTGCGAGGACAATACCCTCGGGCACGGAATTCTCTTAACTGTCCATAATTGTACCATTTCTGGAACGCAAAGATTTAGTATAATTTTTTTTCGACACGAAAATCGCAGAGACAGGAGTGCCGGTGCGTCGGCTGTTATAAATGATGCTTGCATGATGAATATCGATTTGGCTCGGCATTGTAGAAGTTTGTGTCTGTTTTCAAGATAGTAATTAGCCCTTTTACGGCATAGGCGAGCTTTTAGCAGGGGTTTAATCTCGTCAATAATAATGCCTTGGCGGTTTATGGTCGGTTAAATAAATGTAAAAGACGGAAATTGACCCGCTTAATTTCCCCGAATCATCATTATAATTAAATTTTCACCGGCCGAATTCGGAGTCGAGCAATTGAGTGCGGAAATGTGCGTAGGAATTATAGTTATTGCAGGGTTCGGGGAAAGCTCTGCAGGAAAATAACAATTAAATCCCGATTATCGGAAGGTATGTCAATGTTATTTGTAACAATCGATAGATTTTTGTGCGAAACTTGACGCATTATGTAATTTGTGATTACGTTATCAATAAACTATGCAATAATAAAAAGCTTTAGTTGTTCGTTTGGAGTGACGTAAGTTTAATCGACGCTTTAATCTTGTTTTCGGTCTAAAGTTTGAACAAATACATGCGGTGATAAAGTGGCGTGGAAAGGTTTGAAGTATCGGGAATAGTTAACTCGTTTAGTTGAGATTCTGAAGGTGTTTAACTGTTTAGTTTTCAGCGGTTAATCACACAAAATAAATCCGAGGAACTTCGTTCAAGTGGCACTTGAGGGTTCTTATTGAAAGCTTTAACTTCTTAAGATGCGAATCTCAAGATTTACTTTTGTTGAGAGTTCGGGAAAGGAAACTGATTGTCTTCATTATTTCTTTAACAAAACGGAACAAAAGTAGACCAGTTAATTACAGATTCTTTGTTTTCTGAAGACGTACAAACAAGAGTTTAATTGTTTACGCGGAAGTAGAAAGAGCTAAGACCGTGATGATTTAGTTTTTGATTGTTTTTTTATTTTCGAGGGAGGTAATTCACGTAAGTCAATAAGGTTCGGTAAGCTTTTGGAATTTGCAAAGAAATTTACATGTCGGACAGAATGACTTTATTTTTAAAATTCAGTGAGTATTATGCTCAATAATGCATACGATTTTCTTAAAAAAAATCCATTCCGTTGTAAGCGTTAACGTCAAGGGAATCGTGTTGGCAGAACAGGTTGCTGCTAATTAAACAATTTATTTTCCGGGTGCGAATAAAATCACCAGAGCGTTGAGGGATTTTTTTCTAGTTACAAATGCGGGTTTTCGTAATTTTGGTGAAAATTAGTATAAAATGGATGTTGTACGTGTAATTATAAATGTGATAAATTGCTTCAATTTGTTTTACTATCCATAAATTATAAGTTGCAGTTTCTTTAGTTATTCTGTTGAGTTTAAAACAAAACGCCCCTTCCATTAGGGTTAACGAACCTCGGTATCAGCACGAGACCCAAATTAAGTCCATTTTCAGGGTGTAATTCTCCTTTATTAATTTTACTGTCAGTGTTCCACTTTAATGATTTCTGCGTATATCACCCGTTGTGAAAGAAGCTGATGAATATCAAGAATGGGATGGGCGTAATAAAACAACCGGAAATCATGGAATTGGACAATTATTCATCATTTCCATAATGGAATTATCATGAAATTAAATGCAATAATTTATCGGAGCCCACCTTCGTTCAGAAATAAAAACGATAATTTTGCAATTTATACAAACGTATAGAGTTACAGAGACGACTCCTTCGGGTCTCATACTTCCACTCCGCCCCTCTAGTCGTGTTTTATTCGACCATTTAAACTTCACAAGTCCCAAAGGGGTTCCTCCAGTGACTCCTCTTATCAGCTTTTCACCCAAATTTAAAACAAATAAAGAGAAATTTTCCTTTCGACCGGACGCGTAATCTGACTTCCACAAGAGTTGTTTTCGCCTCACTATTCTCTTTGTTTTTTCCATGAATAAATCAATCCTGCGAACTTGTCCGATGATGGTTCAAGTTCAATCAGATTTGCTCATAAATATTTACCCTTTTAGAAATCTAAATGATGGAGCCTTCCACAAAAACTTGATTTGTTGGAGTTCTGTTGGTAAATATTTAAGCAGCACGATCTAGAGATTATTTTTATTTTTACGTGATTATTAAGGTTTATGGGTCAATAAATCTTATCCCGTTCGAGCTTTCCCCAAAATAGCAGAATCGTACTGGTTGCATTTTTCACGGTAATCCCTAGCGATAGAAACCCACGTTAGCACATTTTATTATGTGTACACATCATAATTATTGTACGGCGAGTTTTAATTCAGGCTAGCGTCCATTAATTAATTGCACGTGAGGACATTACATCGACTTTCTCCCACAATTTAACTTTTTTTGAACTTGTGACATTTCTGATGTTTCCGCCCGAAGGCCACTTCTGCACGCGACTCAAATCGCAAACGTGGATCTAAATTGAAGTTGAATTTGAAACCATGTCATGTTTGGGACATGCAGAGGGTGGAATTGGGAAATTTACTCCTTCGGGGAGAAATGAATTTGCAGGATTTGTGGGGAATTTAAAGTTTCAGTTACGATATTGAGCGATTGGAAGCTGGACCTCTCAAAGTTTCATCTAAACGGTTTTCTCATTTTTGATTCTAATAAACAAATCATTATTTTTTTGGTTATTTCATTCTTGTTCTTAGGTTGATTGTACTGTTATATCAATTACTCCTAGTTGTTGTTTAACATAAAATAAACAGAGAAATTATACTTGTAAACGTACTAAAGCTAAAAACAATGACGTTTACAGAATTGCAATATTTCAGCCTGTATATAAAGATAAAATGTTTTTCACTTTTAAAAGTCTGTAACAAACCAACAACGCACCAAACAACTGCACATCAAAGGATTCTGTTCAAAGAAGGAATAAAGTAGCAAATCTAAAACGCAGCGTCAAACGATAAAACCCACATCATTTTGAAAGGTAAAATTGGCGATGTAGCTTCTAAAGCGATAATTTGAACAGTATTTTCTATGAATATGTTATCGTTATGATTATTACCTGGCCCACTGAGTGCCTTATTTTCAGACTACCAGATAATGCGGGTATAAACTATTTCCCAAGAGCTAACTTCAGGCATGTCTGTGTTAAAATATCAAATTATCAAAGATTTTCGGCAATGCCGAAATTTTATCTGTTCCGCTTTAAAAGTTCCTTAAGAGTTCCCTTTTTATAAAAATTTCCAGAAAAACAAAGTTTACGTTGTCATACATTTTTTGTCTCATTGTCTGCCCGTCAACAACCCAGCTTTTGAGATAAAGTCTACAAAAACAACTACTTCCTGAAATTACGAACACGCTGTTATTGCAAAGTTCGCGGAAAGCTCACTATCTGCAAAAACTCACCATTGGAAACTTTGACGCTTTTTTAACGGACTGTTGCTCCGGATTAAATTGGGATCGTAATAACGGCGAAAGTGCTGATACCGCATTGAGTAAATATTTTTCTTTCGATCGAAAGTATCATATTAATTATACCTCGCAAATAATTTGCAAACGATACTGCTAGCGATTACGTAATAATCTGTTATTAACTGCTAATCGCCGAAAAACTTGGCTAAATGGACCACAAAAACCACCCGGCTTCTGTTTAGAATTTTTTATTAAAAAAGTTTAATAGCTTTCCGCGTACTCGCCCATTCTTTTTCCTTCCTTTTAACCGCTAAAGGTAATGTTTAATTCATTCGTCGCCGGCGAAATCTGTGTTATTGCTTTAAAATTGTTTCAGTGACTTTTGGATTAAAATCGAAGTTCTTGCGATTGGTATCAAGTGGGATTCTATTAATATCGTTCAAGGGCGTATGACGTTTGCATTTTGTGCAGGTACGAAGGTTGCATGTTGTACTAATGCGTTGTTTGATTACTTAGTCGATAATTTTGATTTTTAAACGGATTAGACGAGCGTAGGATGGAAATATTTCTAATGACATAATTGGAGTTCTTGCGAAGCAATCAACCAACCATGGAAAATAAGCTGCGTTAATTAAAAAGTAAAGACTTTGAGAAGAGAAATTACGGGAAGTCAAAGCGGTTACTGCATTCG